TTTCTGCAGCAGCAGCAGTTAGCCGCTCTCTGATAAACTCTCTCAGAGACTGAGATGAAGACATTGTTGCTGCAGAGCCTCAGAGGTTCACTTCACACAACCACACAACAAGCTAACGCTGCTAACGAGCAACAAGCTAACGCTGGCTTCCAGTTTTTTTCTTGCATCCGGTAACAATTTCATCGTACACCAGCGTAAGGGTGCATTACCGCCACCTGCTGGACTGAAGTCAGGAAAAGGTAATGAACAGCCTGTTCCAGCCATAGAATATATTAGCTAGATGACCTAACTGGGAGTATTTAAAAAAATTATTATTAATTTTTTCATTGTACAAATTAACAAATACAGCGCATATCATACAAATCAACAAATATGAATAAGTATAGGTGGTTAAGAACAAAGCAGCCATCGAAGAACAACAGAAAAGAACAGTATAGGTCAGATATAACATAAAGCAGCATACAAGTACATTAAATGACCTTCCCTATAAAGTAACAGAAAAAAAGAAAAACCCTAATGGGAAAGTCGACAACGTCCTTGCACGACGGCCATCTTACTTCAGACAGCTAATCGTTCTCTAGCTGAGGCTCAAATAAAAATACTTATAATTCGATGAAATATTAACAGATTTACAAAAGGTTTGCCTTTTTGCAAACCGTATGATACATAGACTTGACGCATGATACTTACACATGTTGAAATTCCAGCTCTTACTTTTGAAACACGACATAATTGTGAACAATGTGTCCCAGCTAAGCTATTTTACGCGTTAGGTTGAAAGAGAGACCACAATCAATATTTTTTATAGGGTTTGTATGGTTCAACGAAACTAAGAAGTGTACGTAAACCTAATGTTTGTCTAAATGGCTGTATTGGCGGATGTTTTAGTGTTTATTAGCCATGAGGGATCTAGCTAGCCCCTGACTGCATTACGCAGATCGGGGCGGGGCGCAACGTGGGTGGAGTCAAACGGTTTGACTACGCCCACCGCGCGGGCGCCATGTTGAAAAAACCCATATAGAGGCCGGTCACCATTTTAGATAGGTCTCCTTCGCACCCATTGTATTCATTTCTACAGAGGAACGTGCTAACTAAAAAACACATTTAATGAAGCTGTTTCACAAAATCAGACATGGTATGGCATGATAATTAAAATATAAGCATTATTAAACTAAATAAAATAAAATATAAAAATCTATCGGTTAGAATTTAAGTTAGACGTAACGTGGGCGGAGTTAAAGAGCAAGTAACGTCTAAATTAACTTTTTTTTGCTGATGAACTTCATAAATGAGTGTCTAATAGTGTTTTAAATGTGTGTATTCATTATTTTAGCATTTTAGTGCATTTTCGTTAAAAATTAAACATTCTGCCTAAATACCACAGTATAGCACCACCTCCAGCTTAAAACATAGAATTTGATTAATTTTGAATAAATTTTAGCCAATGGCTAAAGAGTAAGATACTATGTAATCCAGTAGAGTACTACGTAGCAGCTCTGTGTCAAAGTTATAAAAGCAACGAGCATCTCGGCCACGCCTTGTGGCGAGTTGGGAGTTGGATTTGCAAGCGAGTGTAGGAGGTTAGCCGTAGTTCAGCATTAGCATATAGCATTAGCATATCCTAGTCATTAGCGTAGCTTTTAGTGTTATACATACATATTTAGTGTTAGCTTGGCTGTTGGATAGTGTAGTTTAGTTAGTGTTTGGCTTTTAGTGTAATTAGAAAAGTTGTTCGGGTTAAGTGCTCCATATCGTGTTAGTATGGTGAGAAGGTGTAGTGTAGTGTGGTTGCGGTGGCTCTGTGGGGTTGCACTCCTTTCCGCTGGACTTAGAAATTAGGCGCTAGTGGTTGCGCGCAATCAGTCTCTGGAAAACATTCAGCTCCCGCCTGGTGCTGTAGTTTGCAACCAGCATTTTACCCGCAATTCTGCACATCTCCGTTTGAAGAGGGAGGCTGTGCCCACCGTGGCTCTTCCGCGATTTAGATGCAGCCCACCGACTCTGCTCCCCCACCATGGCGGGCTCCAGTCTGAGGTGAGTAAGCTAAATAAAAGTTTTAACATCTTCTAAAGACAATTCCCTACCTAAATGCAAAGTTTGAGAGACGTGGTTCACTCCATTTAGCTAATATCAGCCTGTGCTGCCTTCGGGCAGATTTGTCAAGTTCACAAGATGTGGAACGGGATGTAAGGTTAGAATCAGCGGCGAATCGGGACATGTCTCGAAGCCCTGGCCGACGAAACGGTCCACATGACTATTACGGTCAGGCTCGGAGAAAATTCGGGTTGTTTTTGTGTCAGTCGGTAATTCTGCAACAGTGACTAACGCAGCACTAGTTGACAGACAGCATTACAGCGTGAAATTCAGCTTGTGACCCGGTTCCGTGAGGAATTCTGTTCAGGAGGTCGCATTTCAGGCTCTCCACATCATATGTGACTGACTTTTACGTTATAATAACGATCAAACACTAGGAATGTTATAAAGCACCTATATGTTTCTTTTGTATATTATCTGACTTTATAAACTCCAACAACAATGTGCTTCTATTTTTTTTCAGGCTAAATCTACCCAAGACAATAGCTGTCAGAATGCACTTGTCCAGGCTGACGTAAAGCCTTACCAGCATAGCAAAGGTGAATTATTTTTAATAATCTTCTATGTAGACATTTTATTATTACCTTCTAGTTTTAATTTGTTTTACAGATTATTGTTACACGTGATTTTATGCTCTTTTAAACATTTATAAATGTGCTGCTTCTTTGTTTTTTACATAGCCACCCAGAATAGAGCTCACAGCCGCAGTGTGTCTTGTGACACAGGGACCATGACGGAAATTCATCTTCCAGAAAGTCCCAGAGCAGCGTCCACACCCGTGAAAAGAGTAAGATGTGAGGTGTCTGCTGTTGATTCCAGCTTCCACCTCAGTGACAGTGCAAGCTCAGTGAACTGTTCAAGGTAAAAAAAAAATTAAAACATTTCAGAATTTTTAAGATATTAACAGTTAAATAAGTATGTGATTACATCATGACATCATGAAGGAGGCTACTGATTCTGGCTCTGTGACACTTGGTGGTGACGTGTGAGCTGATTCACCTGGTGAATAACTTTTACATTAAATATTTTGTTTTTGCTATCAAACGTAAATTAACTAATAACCTGCATTATTGCAGGACACTCAGCAAAATATGGACTCTACACCATGAGGCAGGCACATGTTAATAACTCTATAAGAGCACATAAGGTGAGCAACACGACATATTATTGTTATTACTGTACACTGTCCTGGATTTGTTTTCTTTATGCCTGTTTTCTTTATGTCATCATTAGCCTGGCTGATCACCTGATAACTCCTGTCATCTGGTTGTGACAGCATGAGGATGTCCTCACACACCTGTAACCTATCAGCTCATCTGGCAGAATAGAGAGAGAAGAGACAACACCACATCTCCTGTTCCTGGAAAGCCTTCAGCCATCCTTCGATGCCCCCTCGGGCCGGGCTGGACACGGGCTCAGATTTTAGGCCCGTGCAGGGCTCTACTACAGACCCTCGTACCTCACTAGGTATGTGCTGTTGTAGCGGCATGAATGGTCTCATATTTGTGACCCAAAGGTAACACTTCCTCGCTGGGTCGAGCTGTACCTTTTGTTCCACAGATTATCCATCAGGAGCCGGGAAGTCTGCTAAACACCATCTTTATCTGGCTGCTGTTCTGTCCCAAGATGAAGGACACTTCAAGATTTTAAAACAATAATTTTAAATAAACTGTTTTTACTGTTTATTACAATCATATAATAATCATCATAAAAAATCATCATGGTTCAGTATAAATGTATTTAATTACTGAAATGACTTATTATTCTTTGGGTTAATAATTATTATTATTTATGATAATCAGTAATGTGTGATCAGTAACCAGAAGGTCATTGGCACGTGTACACCTCGTGCAGAACTGAATCCAGGGTAAAAGTTAACTTGCTCTCACGTCTTTGCTCCATAACAACAAGCTTTCTGATGCTGAGAGGGCGTGTTCTGAGGTTTTGTTAAAGCCAAATCTCCGCCGCTCAAGTTCAGTTCTTGAACCAATCGGAGGACGAGGGACGGCCGCCTGACTCCTCACTAAGCATTCTGTCACCGATAGAATTGCTCCGAATAAACACACCTGTAACCAGCTGACGCAATAACTCCTTCAGAGTTATTGATTTTGAGACGCAAATCGTTTCATCAGTTGTTGAGACCCACGGAGACATCTCAGGACCGATTTGTGTCACACTAAGGAACCTCTACCAACCTCGTGCCCATAGGGCATCATCTCCACCTGACATCTCGGATCCACAGAGGGTCTCCTGAACTGGGTGAGGTAGACACCTCCCGACAGATGGCGTCTGATGCTGTTCTCTCTAAGAAACCATAAGTTAGCTGCAAAACTATATTTTTCACCCAGAACGCGTTTCTCTCTCTGAAAGAAATCTTCTGAGATATCATCCACGCATCCAAACCTCGCATTTCATTTTAGCTTTTCATTCAGACACAGACAAAGCTTTTAATAACAAGTTTTAATATCAAGCTGTTACAAATTGTCATTTTCAAATTGTCATCTTTAAAATTGTTAGTAATAAATTCTTAACTTTTTAAACCTGACTCTTCTTGGAAATGAAACACAGAAAAGTGTAATTGGTTATTGAATAAGCAAAGAATCCATTAAGTCTTCTGTTTTATAAATAAACTTTTGCTGTAATATTTAATTATCTTAAATTAAAAATTAATCTTTGGATTAAAATATAGACCAAGACAGTTGGTGTATGAACTTCTATTGAGTGTATTAATATCCTAGACATTTATGCATAATATAAGTTCATATGCTAATGTGTCCAATCTTTTCTCAGGATCTAACCAAACTGATAGCAAACAGTGTAAAATCCTAGTATGTAGATGTGCACACGCTACACTGTATTAAAAATGTGAAAGACCCACATAGAAATAAAGCTCTGGAGACAAGAAGTGAAGAATGTTACATTTATTTTAAACAAAATGAAAAAGTTGAAGGTTCTGAGTTGATCTGACAGGCAATATAAACACAAATTTATTAAGGGTACTATGTCATCACACACAAAAGTTTGTTAGGATTTAAGATTTTCAGATTTCTAATATGATGCACAGCAACACTAACAGTGACAACATACACATTTAAGATAAAAAACACCAAGTAAAAATTAATTATGATACTGATTTGTTAAAATAGTTTGACTGATACCAGAGTATAAAACGATCTCCAAATGTGTTTGGAAGAAATTACAATTATTATCTTTAAGAGGCCAGTAAAGGTCTTCTGGTGCTTTTATTTATTGATCAATGTAAACTTTTTTGTACAAAATGATAAATCAACCATAACTAAGAAGCAACTTTTAAGAAAAAGGGTAAAGTAATTTTTACTTGCAGCTTGTTTACTTTTCAAAGCAAGTCACAAATTTTTTTCTTATTATTTTCCATTAGTTCATACAAAGTTGCGGGTAAAAAAAAAATTGTTTAACAACCAGACTTTCTAGTTTGATACAACACTAGCATAGCAGTAAAAAATGTATACCCTGATTTAAAAATTTCACTGAATGCTACTAAAACAGAGATAATCATGACACCACTTCTCTCTAGCTTAGTAACATTGTATTTAGTTAGAAAAACACTTAAGTGTTTTTAAAAGGAGATTTTAAAAAGTTTTAAACATGTTTACACAAACCACAGTAATTTAACGAGCTAGCTAAAACACAAACTGTCATTTAGTTTAAAAAAGGTCTTTTGTTGCCTGAAAAGAGCTTAAATGACTTTCAGCATTCATATAAACGCTTGTGTACAAAAAAAAGACATATGTGTTCAATTTAATGAATGAGTGAATTTAACCAAAAACAGTCTAGCATTGAGTTAGCTTTTCAAGTTAGCACAGAGGCATTGCCAGTTAAACAAATGTTTCATTCCTTAAAGCTCATTATTACTCTTGGTTATTGAGGACCATCACGTGTAAGTGCTAGGAGGCAGAGGAGAAGGAGACAGGATAAACGGAGGAAGTCGGTTGAGTAGAGGTGAGGAACTGATCGCACCACGCCGGCTCGTCCAGGTTTATTTCAACAAACGGGATGCTGGAGCAAGCTGCTGTGAGACGGTGCAAAACAGATTTGAGTTTACACGTTTATGTAAATTATGTTTAAAAGATTTTTGAAAACTAGTTTTTTAGTTTTTATAGCTTGCGACAAGATTAACGTAGTGCATTGCTATTAGCTTAGAGATTGAGTCTGTGCTAGTTTATAGTTTGTGTTCTTTACATGTGGATGTTGAAAAAATATTTTGGGACAGTTTTTGTGATAAGTTCAGTTTTTCTTCGGTAGAAAATGTTTCTTTCTCCCATTTTTTCAATTTAGCCTCTCTTTACTAAATGTAAGTCTACGGTAGCCCAGAATGTTAAATAAAAAATGCAAAAGCAGAAAAACAAAAAACAAATGACAACAACCTACCATGAGTTTAAAATTAAAACAAAAGCAAAATTAATAAATTAACATAAATATAAATATATTTACATTTCCCCTTTTACTCACATTTTACTTGGATCGTTTTTGTTGTTGTTGTTGGCTTTTGTATTTACTGATTTACTCATTTTGACCCTTCTGAGCCACCGTACTAAACACTCAATGAATATTAAAAGAAAAAAAACTTAAAAAATGTTTCTTATTGTTTACTTAAGGTCAGCAATAATTTGGATTTGCACATTCACATTACCATAAATCCTCTAATATTGGCCCATATTCCATTACCGGCCAGGTTTCCTACATTAGTTGGTTTCGTTGTCAGTGGGGGTAAATCAAGCCCCCACAATGCGGGTCAAAAGCTGAAGCAAACGCGGAAGTAAAATAAATTACAGTTCCACCCTCATCCACTAGGGGCTGGTGTCAAAAGCGAGCAAATCCTCATTGACTCCCATGTTAAAAATACCAATTTCACAGCAGAAATAAACATGTTTACAGCCTGGTTCCAAAACATGTTTTTGGTTTAAATGATCTAGTTTACACTCATGACAACTCTGAGGGGGGTGATTTTTTTTCTCACTCTTCTGTTTAAGTGTATTAAAAGCCTAAAATTCTGTATAATTAATGAGCATCCGACCCACGTGACCGCAGAGCTAGCTCCGGGGAAAGGCCGCAGTAGAGCCTCGGTCTGGCCTGAAAACTGTTCCGTCAGTTTCAGTCTCTCAAATTAGACCATTAGTTGTAGCGTTTGTGCGTTCTTTTTTGGATATTATTTGTGCAATTGTTGGACAAAATGACTTGCTGTGGCATTAATTGCACTAATAGAGCGTCCAAGGAGTCTCCACTTCATTTTTTTCGGTAAGTAAAATTATATTTATGCATTTTAGGTCACTGCCGAGCTGAGCTTAGATTTTAACATGTACTGTTTAACCATGAAATTTAAATGTAATAGGGTAAAACCCAGTGCATTTAACATATTGCTGCACTTTAGAAAATGGGTTGAAATATAACATGTTGGTGGAGCTGGGTTCCGACTATCGGCTTGTGGAGCTCTCGGGAGACCGATGTTTTCCACCCGTTTCTCCCCTCCCCGCAGCTCGGCGCATCTCTGTCTGATTGCGGCTTCTGTCTGCTGCACGGGCTGCCGGCTTGTGGAGCTCTGGGATGGAAACCTTTCCACTCGGTTCTCCCCAGCGGCAGCTCTGCGCATCTCAGATCGCAGCGGCGCTTGTCTGCTGTGCGGCTGCTGGTTTGTGGAGCTCTCGGGAGACCTCTGTGTTTCACCCGGTTTTACCCAGCGGTCAGCCCGGTGTATCTCTGACTCAGAAGCTCTGGTGTTGTGCACAGTTAACTCCGGTTGTAGCTAGGTTGCTACCACTGTTAGCTTAGCTCCCACCTCTGCATTAGCTTTGGGTTAGCTTCAGGTTAGCTTGTAGCTAGTTCGACTGGGTGTCATCAGTCATCAGACTGCTGCGGCGGTTGAGGGTTGACTCTCTTCATCCAGATCCGTAGGTTTTTGTGGGTCTGAGATCACTTCCAAAGAGTCATTCGTTTCTGACTGAATCCGTGGAAATTTGGGCAACAAAAACCGATCCATTTTACCACTAGCTCTACCTTTCACTCATTCGCAGGTGGAAAATGAGGTCAAAGGTTAACATCAATTTCCTGTGTTGGTTGAAGTTTTTACTATCTATATGATAATTTCCTGATTATTTTTGTTTTGTATGTTAAATATTATCACATCCACACGTTAAATTCAAATGAAATTGTAAAAAAAAACCTCTAATATTTACTTGGGGGTGCTATGGGGGTGCAATGACTAACCCAGGGGTAGCTATAGCACCCCCAAGGCCCCCCCCCCCCGGCACCGCCACTGTTTGATACTGTTTTACGTGTCCTCACTGCAAATAGCTTGTATAGCGCTAATATTTTTAGCAGTTAGCTCAGTGTTGTAACGTGGAACTGCAGAGGATTAGGATTAAACAGTTGGAGGATTTTATTAAATAAACTTAAAGCAAAATGAGAAATCTGAATTAATAGAAATTAATAAAATGTTGGATTTCTTTGAAATTTTGGTTGAAGTACTTACAATTTGGGCCAATAAGGAGTAAAATATAATCATCTAGAAACATGAGGGTTATCTTATTTTTGCTGAAATATTAGCATTTTTGTCGTTGCTGCTGTAAAATATTATTGTTTGTCTGTTTTCTGTTATGAATCTAGAGACGATTAACTGTAATACCTCTGATTTTGTATCTTCTATTGTCTTTTTAACTCTGTATCTTATGTTTATTTTTCCAAAAGACTGAAGAAAAATATCTGCGCTTTGGTTTTTCATATCTTACACACGTTTGTGAAGCGTGTGTTGATTTTTAATGTGCTGTTCATGTTTAAGTCTTACATGGGTTGTTGTTGTTTTCATTCTGCTGCTGCGGCTCCTCCATGGCGTCAAACAACAAGTTGTTGCTGCTCAGCTGGTTGGACGCCTGCTCAGATTGGTCGTCGCCCAATGAAGAACTGGCGCTACTGGGAGGGGAGTTCTGCACCCCGTTTGCCTCTGGCTGCTCCCGGGAAACTGCAGGAAGGAACAAAATTTAAGCATTTCACATCTTTATAGTTGTGGCAGTAGGACATGTAATCATGCATTGGAGCAGAACAAATAAACGTCACATTTGCAGAAACTGAGTATGTTTATTTACTCTCGTCCACGTTGGGATCCTTCGATCAAATAAGTCATGTGAACACCTTCTCTACAGCAGAGATGCTAAATAAACAATCAACCAACAAAAATAGCACACCCTCACTGGTATTCTTGTCTTCTCTGGTGTCTTTGTCCTCCATCTGTGGACCTGTTCCATTGGCTACTGGTGCGGTTGGGAGGTCGTCAGTGGTCTCCATGCCTTTTGGGGCTGGTCGATCAGAAAGACCAAAGCAGTCTTGTTAAGAGTTTACTTGGGTGTGTGTCTATAAATGTAGTTAGTTATAAACTAATGTACCTAGATCATCCAGGTAGACCTGGCCAAAGGTCCCAGTGGGCTCGTCTAGACGGCTAGATGGAGGACGTTGGAGATCAAATGAGTACGACTGGAAAACAAAAACCAGATGAATTGTCAGGTCTAAACGATGACTTGAAGAAGCTTTTTGAAATTGGTTTCTTACCCTGGACGCCCGCCTGAGCATGTAGAGGATGGTGCACAGAATAATGATCACAATGATGATAAGCACCAGGATCACATAACCTAGAGGAGAACAATCATGTCAGGACGAAAGATCTAACACCAGCTGAGGAAGCCTAAAGGACTTGCTTGGTCTCCAACCAGCAGCTGGAAATCCTCCAGAGGGAGGAGACCAGCAGCCATCCAGATCAGAAGCCTGAACCACCTCCTGGTGAGGATGTTGGTGTTCTGGTCGGTAGCTGCAGCTGTAGGACTGGGTGGTTTACTGATACGTTGTTCATAATGAATCGGACACCAAAGTACTTAGAAATGAAATTATTTTGCAGAGTTTGCTAATAATATTTACAAATTTCACCATTCACCGTAGTAGAAAACAGAACATAGTGAGACAGCGTTGTGCAGAAAATAACTGACTATAAACACATCATACTACAGTGTTGCCCCCTGATCAGACAGGTGTGTGTTTTATGTGTAAAGCTGTTTTTATCAGACGTGTCTGCTGTCACAGAGAACACGTGGTGGTTGTGGTCTGACGCACAGGAAGCGTCAGACGTAAGCGGTGAACGAGCTGCCTGCGTACCTGCTTTAGACGAAGCAGCAGCTGCTGGTGCAGCACCTGCAGAAGTGACCTCTTTGTCTTTTGATCCACCTTCTGTTGCCTGTTCAAGACAGAGGGCAGCCTTCAGATTTGAACATTGCTCAGCTCTGCTGTGGGGGTTCAGATGTGATGGCTTGTTCTGCCCTTCCTGGTTATTCAGCAGCAAAGGTTCATTCTAGCTGTCATTCAGCTCATGAAGGACTCCAGAACCCTGAAGCAATGCTAAAATGTTGACTAGATGTTTGCACTGAACAAACGGAGAGTTGTTGCGTAAAGAGCCAACACTCAGAACTCTCCTGGTTGGTTACCGTTGGTGGTGATGGCGCTGGCGCTGTTGGCGTGGTGGTTTCATTGTTGGATCCATTCAGGAGCTGCTGGGTTGTTAAGGGTTTCGGCGTTTCTGATTCTGAAATTTGAGTTAAATCAAACTATCAACGGTGAAGGATGGCAAACTGGCTAATATAGTGGAGAAGCAAAGTAATGTGTGATGCTACATAAGGCCTAAGTGCACATCCATAAATACGTGAATGTTGTGACTCAGAACTGTTGGTACCTTTTCCATAAACTTCATTTTCTGGAGAAACTGTAGTTTTATTTTGTATTTGGTCATCAGATGAAATTTCTGTAAGTAAAAGAGAAAACTGTCACGAATCAGAAAACCTGAAGAAAGAAAAAAAACATTTAGTGACTACATCCAATTACAGCTGAGTCACGGGGAAAGAAACCGGAAGCCAGTTTGCTTTGAACTTGTATTCTTTAAATGACCAGCAGGGGGCGACTTAATGAAGTAGCTCGACCAAACAGATTATAAAGTTTGGAAACTGAGAGACATCTCAAACTTTATAATCTATTGAAGCATCTTCTGGTTTTATTCTGTAGATTTTTTTATTTCATCCCAGTTTAGAGGGAAACAAGACAATCTACGGAAGAGGGTTAGGGCCACGTAAAAGGGAAAACAAAAGAAAGACAATTCTGGCTTTAATCTCAGAATTCTAACTCTAATAATCTTAAGAAAAAAGTCAGATTCTGATATTAAAGTCAGAATTCTCTTTCTTTTCTTTTTTTTTCTTTTCACTGGCCCTAATCTTTGCATGACCTTGCTCCAGATTACCTCTCTGAGCCACTGGTTTTTTACTCCCCTGCTCGGTCTCTGAGGCCGGCTGAAGGGATGCTCCTGGAAGTCCCCAAAACAAGACGTAAGCTCAGAGGTGACAGGGCTTTTCTGTAGCGGCCCCTGGGCTCTGAATGTGCTGCCTTTGAGCATTAGGTCACCCTCTTCACTGTCTGGTGTCTATTTTTATGATTTGGCTTTTAACTCAGCTTGAGAGTCTTTTTAGTGTTAGTTTTTATGCTTTAGTCTTTATGCATTTTTATGCTGTGTTTTGTTTTTAATCTTTTCAATTTCTTTGAAGCACTCTGGTTTTATACTGTAGTAAGGTGCTCTACAAATAAAGCTGTCTTAGCTAATCCTCTTCTGTAACAATCAGCCAGTTTATGTCCACCAGTTTTAAGAAAGGATAAAACAACAGGAAACAAATCAGTGGGTGATTTAAACATACACCTAATTAATAGTCAGCACTTAATATATCCACAACGATTTTTATGTCTGTTCTTACCTTTGGGCTCCGCTTTAGGTTCCTCAACATCTGGAACATCGGTTGTGTTTTTGCCTCGTGTAACAGAAGACGTCACTAGAACTAAGGAGAAAAGTAGTGTAATTAAATGTGTTTGTAGTTCATTGAGCTATGTACCTGGGAAACATGTTTATATAAACATCCAGCCCTTATATGTGGAGCCAGTTTACAACAGCTGCTGACCCAAGTGCTGAACATACACGACTAGTTAGCCATAAAAGAGGGCTAAACAAAGTTCCCAGACCGTACAAACACGTGCACTACAAATAAGTGCTGAAGTGTACTATAAGTACAGTAAGTATAAGTAACCGTAAGACTGGAAACAAACAGAAGTAAAAAGCTATGTGAGACCATGTTCCAAGGACTACATACGTATAACATGCACTCCCATCTACTAAATGATAATGATAAATGACCCGCAGTCGTGTAGCGCCTTTCAGAGTCAGAGGACTCTTACGCTACAGTGTATCATTCATCCGTTCACACACACTGATGTTGATGAGCTACCATGTAGCCACAGCTGCCCTGGGGCACGCTGACGGAGGCAAGGCTGCCGAGCACAGGCGCCACCGGTCCCTCCGACCACCACCAGCAGGCAAGGTGGGTTAAGTGTCTTGCACAACAGCAGAATTCTCTGTCCAGAGCCGGGATCAAACCTGCAACCTTCCGATTACTGGACAACCCGCTGTTGAGCTACTGCTGCCCAGCTACTAGCAGGCCACTGCCTCACTGAGTACTGGAGTGAGGCCTCACTGAGTACTGGAGTACTCATTTATTAATGAGGAAGGTTAAATCAGCCAAATCTTGAAGTGTTAAATGGTAAATGGCCTGTATTTGATATAGCACCTTCTAGAGTCCTGGAACCCCCCAAGGCGCTTTACAACACCATCAGTCATTCACCCATTCACACACACATTCACACACACATTCACACACTGGTGGGGATGAGCTACGATGTAGCCACAGCTGCCCTGGGGCGCACTGACAGAGGCAAGGCTGCCGAGCACTGGCGCCACCGGTCCCTCCGACCACCACCATCAGGCAACGTGGGTTAAGTGTCTTGCCCAAGGACACAACGACAGCGACAGACTGAGCGGGGCTCGAACCTGCAACCTTCCGATTTCGGGGCGAGCACTTAACTCCTGTGCCATCGTCGCCCCTATTTCAATATTTTTCCTCACAACAAATTTCCTCTTTACAGAGTCCTCTGAACTCTTACTTTCTTCTCTTCCTAAAGACCTTGGATCAGAGGGTAGGAAACATGACCGAACACACACACAAGCACTGATATTTAATTTGTTGAATTAATTGAATTTGAATTATTCTTTAAGTTTTGTCTTTCCAACCTGCCGCAGCCCACTGAAGTACTAGACTAACCTTCATCAGCATTCCAGGTTGAGGTTTTGTCTCTTGGGAATCGAGCTAGCGGCTAATCCTGTAATCCTCGAAAACGTCACCAAAACTCTGAGTTCAATCTAATCAGGCAGGGCAGGTTAGCGAACACTTGTGAGGTTCTTTTTTCCACGTTTAATCTTGAATCTAGTTTGTGTTCACCCTGACTAGCCATTAGCGTGTCAATCAGGTCAGAATTAAACTGTCACACCACACTGAGACTAACTACAGATTGGACAGTTATGCCTGAATCCACTCAGTAGAACCTCTCTTCAGAAGATCTGAGCTAACGTGAGATCATGCTAACAAAGCCTGTGTTTCAGATCAGCTTGGTCTGATTAATGACTCTTCTGATTTAGTCCACACTAAAGCGAAGCTCGTGTTGTTACTGCAGTTCTAGATCGGGTTTAAGTCTAGACTCCCCCATAGGTGCTCTTGATGATTTGCAACCATATTAGTAAGCTCTGCTTAGTAAATCTGGACCTAACATTTGCTCTGCCATAAAAGCTAATAATAGTCTAATAGTTCACTCACATCTACATTATTTGCACTTTTAAAAAGGCATTTTTGCAGGAAACACATCATCTCCTTGCTGCATTTGTGTGCTTCAGATCACTTCCTGGATGTGGTAAATTATCACGAAGCGCCCTGAAGACACCCAAACTTGCTCAGATGCAGATTCAAATGTAATGGGGTTGTGGAAGAAGTTCAGCCGGATAAAATGCTGATTTTAAAAAGCAACTTTAACTTTTGCTGAAATGAAGATCAAAGCTTTTTACCACGTGACTCAAATGATGCAAAAATAAATCAAAATCTAAAATTGAGCCATGCAAGTTCAAATGTGAAGGACTGAGTTTTTACTGAGTAAAGCGGAGAGGAAGCATCAGTTAGGAGGTGAACTCACCGAGGAAGCAAAGGTGAAAGAACAGCTTCATCGTTATCATTTGAATATTCCCTCTCTCTTTTTTCAAGCTGGCTCGTGCACTCATCAGCGATCTTGATCAGTTTCCTTTTTATCTTTTTAGTTTGTTCCTTTAAAAAACTTCTTCCTCTGCAGCTGTTATCAGCCCTCCACTCTTCTGTTCGTCTCTCTCTCTCTCTCTCTCTCTCTCTCTCTCTCTCTCTCTCTCTCTCTCTCTCTCTCTCTCTCTTCCTGTCTTCCTTCTCTCAGACCCCCCCCCCCCCCCCCCCCCCCACCTCACTGAGCGCGACACCCTCACAGCTCTCTCTCTACCTTCAGCTCTGAGGTGTAGGGACCACTTTTACTGATCTCCAACCGGTGTTGAGGTGGAGATCTGTTCTGGTTCTGGTTCAGATCTGATCTACAGCATCACCACGTCTCTGACAGGTGACTAGAGTCTAGAGACATTTCACCCTGCAGCTCTGGCGTCTTCACGCGTTTCCTCTCACCCACTTGAGTTCTTTTTGTTTGTTTGTTTGTTTGTTTGTTTGTTTTCGTAAACCCACCTCCCTCTCTGGGTCGGGTCTGTCGGAGTGAATCAGTCTCAGTCAGGAACTGAGTCGTCGGCCACAGCGCGCGCTCCACATCCACACCGGATGCTACAGTAGCGGCGCATGGGTGTGAAAAGTTCAAAAATAAAAGTGACTTTTTTTAGATGTTTGAAGTCCTGCTGGAGCTCTAGCTCTCTCCCGGTACTTTTCTGCTTCCTTCCTGCAGGTTTTAGTGTTTTCTGACATTGTTAAATCCTCACGTCTTCACCAAAGAACTTTTAAAGGATCTATGTGCGGCAGATGAGCTGCAACAGAGAAACATGTAGAATCCAGAACTATATGTGTAAAGAAGCACAAAAAAACCTGAACCATCTCCAGCCCTGACGGCCTGCGGGTGTGGCCTCACGTCATCAGTTTTAAAACGTCACTCTTGAGTACAGGAAGTACTCACTGTGTACTCTAGGGGTTCGCCCTTAACCCTAACCACAAATCAGTATTAGTAAAATCAGCCCAGTCAGGCTTGGGTTCACATGTTTCTGTTTTACAGATTCATTATTATGTAATTTTAAACATCATCTAACTAACTCATTAGGTAACATTTCCTTTTACAGTCCCTTAATTACTAAGTACTTACAATTACATAGTAAGTTAAAGTGTATTATTGTGTAATTAAAGTGTATCATTGTAAATTAGGTGTAATTATTATGTAAAGCAGTTTTACTGGGAATGATTAATAAAATAAAACTAGAATTGAACCTGAGCTCCATGATTATAACTGTTTAAGAACTCAGAAACAATAATACACTTTAACTTACTATGTAATTACCATGTAAGTACTTAGTAATTAGGGGACTGTAAAAGGAAGCGTTACCATTCATTATTGTGGTTGTTTTCCTCTGAAATGTTAAAAAGTGGAGAAAGCAAACACATCAACAGCTGAAAATGGTTCTTGACTGGTCAGAAGACTGGATGCCATCTCAGCTGCTGATTTAAACTCCTTAAAATATAAATTAAACAAAATAAGGTTTAAAATCTAAGAATAATCTTAATCGTAAGAATAATCTGAATAACTTTGGTTTTCAGACGCTTTTTAATGCTTTTAAAAACAAAAGACTTTAAAATGTTTTTCTGCAGTGGGACTTGCAGAGTGAACTGAAAACGATGACATCTGAACTCAAATCAACAATCAGCTAAATATGGAGAGGACCATGTTGAGGTGGACTCGTTTGCAGTTTGCACAAAATTCAACAAATGCCACGTAAGGAGCTGTTCCAAATCAAGTCGTTTATTCATGGTTTTCATGCTTTGATGCACAACATGAAGGCTGCAGGGACCAGGCAGATGATGGCGTGAAGAGCTCCCCCTAGTGGTGAGGGTTTAGTCGCTGCAAGAAGAGAGGAAAAATGATTTAAACTCAGCAGCACGGCTCACTTTCATGCATTATTAAAGAGTGACGTCCTGTTTCCACCTGACCTTGACAGTCACGTGATTACTGAGTATTACAAACCCACCATGAGGCCAAGTCATTTGTTGTAAAGGTTTTATTCTCAGAATCTTCCTGAGGTTAAAGAACCAACATCTTACCTTTGTCTTCAACGCAGAACAACAGCTATGAGCTGAGTTATCGGGACCACTTATAGCTGTAGCTCACTAAAATACCGTAACAGCTGTACTTATAACGCAGTGTCTCAACTTTTCAAATGTTTTTTTTTGTCAATGTTTTTTTAAGGCGAAAAGTAAATAAATAACAGTGATGTTTTTATTTGTGTCTCTATTCGGGTGTACTGGAGAGGAGGGTGTGGTAGCTAAAGCTATATGTGGTCAGAGGATTCACTCTGGTCCAAGTAAGCATTTCTTTGTGTGCAGAAAGCTTGCTTTCTAGAAGGAAGAGCCTTATTGGGCTATTTAAAGTTAACATGGTGAAGGTATGGATTGGTTCGTCCAATCTGGGTGGATCCTATCCCCTCCTACCATGGGAGTGGAAACGTGTTCCCCAAGTAAATAAAAAGGAGCATTTGGGCGTTGACTTCCAGTCCTCCTGGTTCCTGATGCATCAAACCTGTACTGATGTGGACTCATTAATAAAGTTTCTGATGTCAAACCTTTCTTCAGAGCATACTCATCGGCTCATTCAAAGGTGGTAACCCCTGGCTGAATTCACTACAAGGGCCTGGCGGATTGTCGAACAGTGTGGTTTTCAGCCTGGCATACAACACTGGACCAGCTCTGTACCCTTAGTACACCTGGAGGGTGCGTGGGAGTTAGCCCAACCAATCTTTTGTGGATTAGGAGAAGGCATTTGACCATATCCCACGGGGGGCCTTTTGGGGGTACCTTGGGAGTATGGGGTACCAGGACCTTTGATACGGGCTGTTAGGTCCCCGTATGATCAGTGTCGGAGTTCAGACCACAATGCTGGCAGTAAGTCGGACTCATTTCCAGTGAGAGTTGGACTCCGCCAAGGCCACTCTTTGTCACTGATTCTGTTCCTAACTTCAATGGACAGGTTTTCTTGGAGCAGCCGAGGTGTCGAGGGGATCCGTTTTGGTGGCCATCTGTAATTGGCAAGTGTTGAATGACCACGACCACTCCAAGTGAAGCGGTCACAGGGCCAGGGTGTACAGTGGTCTTACAAATCCTGGACAGCTGCCCCCCCCCCCCCATGCCTCTGTAGTTGTGGACACGACCAGAACAGCACACTCCTCACTACACACTTAACACACTTTTCTCAGACGGGCATTAACATTTTCACTCTTCTCTCTTGTTTAAACACCTTCATACTTTCAGACTCAACACACTGTGACACAAAATCTGCGAAAGGTGAACCGCAATATATCAAGGGACTACTTTAGTTTAATTAAGAAAGCCTAAAAAACGGTTAAAAGTTTATAAACAGCAGCTGGTGAGGTGGAGGTTACCTGAGGAGGGAAGGGTGCTGGGAACAGATGATGGCGATTGAGAAGAGGCAAAGAAGTTGGCATCATCAATGTCGACGCCATAATCTTGATATGTCATGTCATGGAAATCATTTCCAGAGTATTCAGTAAAGCCTGATGACCCTTCATCGCCATCCTCTTCTTCAGCCAGAGAGAAAGCAACTGGAACAGAAAACAAAAGCTGGTTTAAAGTTGATCCATCTTGAAAAATTGCTTCAATTGGTAACAAGCAATTTAATTAAGTTTATCCAACTTAAATTATTAGTACAATTTTAATAATTTAGGTTGGATAAACTTAATTAAATTGCTTGTTACCAATTGAAGCAGTTCAATTAGGTTGATTAAACTATTCTCTTTTTTCAGTATGGTCTCTGACACGCATCACATGTGCTCCTCTATCATTTGTGGTTTCTAATGCAGCGCAATCACTTCCGCTCACAGATAAACTAGCATCAGCATCGGGGGAGGGGGGGGGGGGTATCTGGAGAACCCATAGAAAACACATGCAAGCACAGAACATAGGACCTCCACACAGAGCAACCACATATTATTTAGAAATAAAAAAAGTAATACAACTTCAAATCAATTAGAAATAAATGACAAAAAGTACATCAAACTTTTAATTTCAGAGGTTGAATCTTTACATTGCGATGAAAATATTTGATTGCTTTTTTAAAATGGTATTTTTGAATCTGAGTCAATGGAGCTGGAAAACTGAAAAACTAAGCTTTAATGGCTGTCCTAACCCTAACCCTAACCCGGGTTTACCAGCTACAACCCAACTACCACTCCCTACACAAACTTAATGAGTTACGGGAACATTTCGTTTCTGTTTGGGGGTTTTAAGAAGTATTTTTGAACAAAAATTAATTAGAATAATTGTTTTCCTTTACTTTTATTTATGTTTTGGCGTGGGTTTTCTGTTTATATGAAGATCACAAGTTGGTCATCATCATCATCATCAGTGTTTCTGATTGTGCATTTTCGTTCAATTTTTAAATTTATCCATGTATTTGAAACTAGAAGGACCTCATGACTGCAAAAAACAAGCATTACTTGAAGCAATAAATTAAACAAATACATTTTAAAAATAAAAGTTGAAGCAGTTTTCAGAAATTAAATATGCACATTTTCTTTTTAATATTTAATTTCTGAGTTATAATAAAAAAAAGTCTCTTAATAATAATAGATTTGAGATAAACAGGTCTCAGGAGCATAGACTGAAGCAGTCAAACGCATGAATAAAAACTGGCTGTTAAATGAAACCCTAAATAATTGACGGCAGCATCAGGAAAATCACAAAACTCAACAGCAGTGAAGCTAATCAGGATACGATCAAATATTATAGTTTATTTTCTCACCAAGAACCCAGATCAGCAGGTAAACCTTCATCATTATCCTCTGCTTCATCTCCTGCCAACAGCAGAGGAAGAGGAAGCTTCCAGTGTCTATATGGTGTGTGTGTGTGTGTGTGTGTGTGTGTGTGTGTGTGTGTGTGTGTGTGTGTGTGTGTGTGTGTGTGTGTGTGTGTGTGTGTGTGTGTTAATTAAAACAGGAAACAAGCTAACCAGAGTGCGAACTACTAGTCATATCCAATATTTTAAAGCTCTTCTTGATCTCCGCTCCATTCGGCTGAGCTTTGTTTTAAACACACTCACATGTTTACTGAAGGCTGAATCTGCAGCTTGTTTTATGATCTGATAAGACTACGGTAAACTAGCAACACCGTCTCCAAACCATCTCGTTTGCTGAATCCAGACAAAAGTTTAGCTTCAGTGAGAAGAAGGAACTAGCTTAAGCGCTCTTTTCCGTAAGTTTAGCGCAGTAAGTCACAGAAGGATTGAGGCTCAATTGTAAATGATTGCACCTAATGACACAACTTTTACATATCATGCACATTTTAAATATCAAACTCTTCAGATGCTTATCTGATGTCCACGGTTTCCATGGTGACCCCACAGTGATTAACCCACATTCATTTTAACAGACCCTACAGGGTTTTCAGAAAGACCCAAGGGGTTTCACTCATACATGGGCCCGATGACGTAAGTGGGCAAATGCCTGTGGGGGCCGCCATGGAAACCATGGTCAAACCTTGTTGTTGCACCACATATAGGGCCTATCTATGCATGCTGGCTGGGATATATCTGTTTTTATTGGTATCAGATAACGACAGTTAGATACTGGATATCAGTAGAGATGATATCAACATCCCTAATACATATAAGGGGCAGCAGTAGCACAGGAGGAAGAGGAGGTTGAATATACATATTCCCATCAGAGAAAGCACATGCCTGGTTTGAATCGTACCTCACAGGACAATCATTCAGTGTATCTTGGCTTGGACAATCCTCTACCGTGCACCATCTTGCCACAGGAGTCCCCCAGGGCTCTGCACTAGGACCTCTTCTCTTTGCCATATACACCACCTCACTGGGTGAGATCATTCGATCACGTGGCTTCCCCTACCACTGCTATGCAGACGACACCCAGCTCTATCTGTCATTTCCGCCGGATGACCACACTGTCTCTGCACGAATATCAAACTGTCTCTCTGACATATCAAAATGGATGAAATCCCATCATCTCCAACTCAACCTCAAAAGCCGCACTACCAGAACAGCGGCTTCCTTTTCAATTTTCAAGAAACTCCTGAAGACCCTGCTCTTCAGAGAGCATCTTCTAAACTAGCACCCCCCCCCCCCCCCCCCCCGTCCACCTCTCCATGATTGATGTCAAGTTGTTGTTATTGTTAGCCTCAAGGGCAACATGCCGATTATCACTTGTAAGTCGCTTTGGACAAAAGCGACTGCTAAATACATAAACATAAACATCTCACCCTTCACAGGTGGTCTCATCCTTCCAAGCTCAGGTCCTCTACCAGAGGTCTGGGAGCTTGAGGGTTCTGCGCAGAATCTTAGCTGATCCTAGAACTGCACTCTTCTGGACAGAGATGTCTGATGTTTTTCCTGGGATCTGCTTTAACCACTCCTCCAGTTTGGGGGTTACTGCCCTGAGTGCCCCGATGACCACGGACACCACCAATGTCTTCACTCTCCAGGCTTTCTCAGTTCTTCTTTGAGGCCCTAGTACTTCAATTCAATTCAAGTTTATTTATACAACGCCAAATCACGACAAGAGTCGTCTCAAGGCACCTCACACATTCCAGTACAGGTCAGTTTATTAAGCCAATCAGTAAAAAAGTTTCCTATATAAGGAACCCAGCAGATTGCATCAAGTCACTGACTAGAGTCAGGGTCTTTGCAGCGATCCTCATACTAAGCAAGCATGTAGCGACAGTGGAGAGGAAAACTCCAGAGGATCCTGGCTCAGTATAAGCAGCCATCCACCATGACTAGAGAGAGAGAGAGAGAGAGAGAGAGAGACTCATCCATTCACAGCATACCCTTCTAGCTAATCATGCATTAAAAGTAGACTCAAACACAGTATGGTGTTTTTAAATACTAATATACATTTTTACTTCACAGATGCAGAAATCCATCATTGGTGTAAAAGTTAAATACAAGTTCTGAAATCTGGCTCTAGATGTGGCATCTTTTTAAAATAGTACTTCTCTGTGTAAATAGGGTCAGTTTTCATGTTGTTTCTGCGTGTTTTCCAAACTGATTAGGAAGGTTTTGCCAGCTGTAGAAATATACTGTTTTCTGCATTTTTGACTAAATGTTCAATAGTTTTTTTAAATAAATTAGTGCAAAATTAAATAAGTTATAGAAAAGTATTTCTCACAAATGATTATCAAAATATTCTTGCAAGACATTTAATAAACAATCATTTTCACCCATGGAGGGATTTTCAAGCGTTGCCAGGAATATTTACACAGATTTACAGATACAAACAATACTCTACAGTAGGAAATAGTTTATCTTTATGTGTGAAGCTTAATCAACTTCTTTATTGGAGTTTGTAGAAAGCGCACGGTCTCCTGGGAACATCAGTTATTCCTCCCAGCCACCGTCTAGTGCCACGCTCTGCTCCTGGGCAAGGGCTGCGAGCTCCTTCAGGAACTCCGAGTAGAGAATGATGGCGAACACTCGGCTCTTGGCCTGAGGGGGAATCGCAGGACAGGGAGGAAGCACGCTTAGAGGAGGTAAAGGCAGGGCATTCTTCACCGAGCCGTTTACTAAAGATGGATCCAGGATGATGTCCCCGCCATGAGACTGCAGAGACTCTGAGAGACACAGAAGGACAATGAATCAGGTTGAAAACCAAAATGGGATGAAGAGATCCCTCATCTAAGGTCTCGGGAGTGCTTTTAAGCAACTTAATAATTGTGACAAGGACACCAAAACAGTACAGATGATAAATATGGTTAAGCAGACTACCATAGACTACTACTTTGAGATCTTAGGTAGGGGCATGGACGTAATTTTCACTTTAGAAGTGGGGGGGGGGGGGGTCTTTACAGTATGTTCTAATGGGAAACAGGCTTCAACACAAACAGTTGTTTTCCTCTTGGTCCTAGAGCTCAGCCAGTGTCAATTTAATATAGCGCAATATTGTTTTTGGATGGTAAAAAGTGCAGGGGTCCAAACTTGACGTTGGAAGAAGTGGGGGGGGGGCATGGTCCCCCCCCCCCCCCTCCAAATTACGTCCATGGGTAGGGGTCTCTTCTCCCTGCTTTTATGTAATTAACTGGTTAATTTTATTGTACAGCAGTAACAGTTTGCTCATTAGCTAAATATTTATTATAAAACTACCTTATTATTATTGCTATCAGATCAAAGAGTAGCAGATATCTAAAGACACCCTGTTTGTGTGTCAACATGTGAATTCATTAACCTCTAAATTTGCCGTCTTGGTCTTTAGCCAACAAGAACCTCCAGGCCTGGGTGATGAGGGCAGGATAATCTGGTCGGTCCTCCATGAAGCGCTCAATCTGAGCGTGCACGAAAACCAACACCTGCGAACACGGTTATCGCAGCGTTTACACAACTGCAACCTTTAGAGGAGGAAGTCACACGGGGTGCGCGGCGACGGTACCTGGTATAGGGTTCGTACGCCGGGCTGCTGATTTGTATCTGTACTGAGCAGGAAGGATCTAAGGAGAGGTTGTGGGTATGATGCCAGCTGAGCCAAGATGCCTGTCACCAGCAGATTGACAGCTATGGAGTTTTCCAGAAGGTTCTCGAGTCGGGACAACAGGACACTGATAAACGGGCCTGATGCATCATAGGATGTAAGGGTTAGCGCAACAATAGAGTGGTAACGTTTTTAGACTAATTCTGATGTTGATTTTCAACCAACCTGTAAATGGAACCTCCCCGCTACATTCCTTCCCTGTGCTCCCCCTCTCCTCGTCTTCCTCGTCCTCTTCCATGGCCTGTTGCTCTCCTTCGTCCCAGGAGGAGCTAAAACTGAACTCCTCCTCTTCAAGCTTCTGCCTCAGTGCTCGGACACGCCTCCTGAATGTGCTGATGTTATCTGTGATGTCATCACAGTCTGGCTCCACCCCTAGAGAGAGCATGAGCTTACAGTATTGAGACACAAAGTCATCGTCGTTGGTGACCTTGATTGGAGGCAGCACCGTAGACTGGCCGTTTGAAGTGACCACACTAAGTTCTCCTGGTTCTAATGGAAAATGGCCGTTTGGTGAGGAGTTTGCTTCTAGACATGGATGCAGAGATGTCTTCGGATGTATCTGATGATCGTTATCGTCTTCATTCTGGTTATAGGTTCTCTTTACTGACTCGATTTTCCCATCAGATTCGCTGATGATGTGATTCTTTACATCAAACTCGCTGGTGAGGACATACGTATCTCCGTGTCCAACTGTTTTCCTTATCTCCTCTTCTCCCGCCACCTTTGTTCTGCCCAGCTCTTTCCACAAACCCTCACACCTCCTCCCTGTGGTCCTGTCAAAGTCTTCACTCTTCCTTCTCTCCTCTTTCCCTCCATCATCACTCCTCCTCCGAGTGGACATGATGTTATTAACCGTGTCCATCACCGTCTTCCCTGTTGCTGTTAACACTGTTGAAACAGTGGATGACAGCATTGCTGCTGTTGAAATGAGTTGACCTTTGGACAAACTGTCACTGGGCTGTCGATTCGCTGCCTTCATCCGTTCGATAATAGCTGCTTTTGTGTCTTTTTGGGCAACAAGATCATAGACCATGACGTCATCCTGAAACTCTAACTCCTCCGCGTATGAGCCGTGCACCAGCTTGGTCGCCATGCGCCTCATTTCCTGGATGTGTCTAGGAGGTAGCATCGCTGGCATGGGTGAAAAAGCACATCTGTCAGACTCCACGTAGCCATTCGCCATGCTGCAAACTGCAGGTGAAGACCGATCCTCGTCTCCAAAAATGTCATCCCACTCCAGCTCCATGGCAGAGCTGACCCTTCCTGCCTGGTTGCACGTGGAGACGGTGTCTGTGGAGGACGGTGTTGGGGACAGAAAGGAAGGGGGAGGATGGACAACCAATGAACAGATGGAGTCCCTCTTAAGTCTCTCTATGAGCTCTTCCTCATCATCTGTGAGGTCTCCTGGTGTGTCAGGTCGATACTCTTGAGGAGGAGGGTCGATGCCGTCGTAAGGTGCAGACCAAAACAAACACGCCCTAAGAAACAAAAAATATGAGACACAAAGTGATTTTCTCTTTTAAAAGTGAATCAATATTTATCTAAGTGATGTCAAATGTGTCCAATCAGAACCAGTCAGCACACATTGGAAAGTGAAAGTCATCCTTGAAGTTTGAATTGAAGATTTGTATCAATGACATCTTGTAGTCGAATATTGTTGCTACAGTTTGTTTTTGGAATTTGAATTTTACTATCCCTCCTGTTGTGAGTTTCGTGACTGTTGCCAGTTACAGATCAGCATCAGGAGATTCTAGTTGTCAAGTAAAGATGAGTCATAGCCTACACAGTAGGTTGTTAAGAATATAGGGAGCCTAAGTCACACCCATCTACTTCTGGACCATGGGAAGAACGAAAAAATGAATGCAAGTCAACGGGTCTAAAAACGCTATTTTCTAACTCCGTTTGTTATGTGACACAGATTTCACATATGATGTTCGTAAATTTTAATAAAATCATTTTGATACCAAGAACGTGCTCATATTCGAACAGGGGGAAATGCTATTTTAGGTTTTGTGTGAAAGTAAGTCCAGGACTACAAAAGTGCTTCACGAAAGTGACGTCATCGAACTAGACACGGAGAAAAGTGAGGGAAATGGCTGTAAGTTCAGCGAACTTACCACAGGAGGAAAGAACCACCATAAATCTGGTCATTTGGTAAGTAGCAGCTACTTTGGGGAGAGGAGATTATGTGCTGACGTCACATATGCAACGTGCCGATTTCTCGTTTGTAGTCATGCTAATTACGAACATTTCCAAGCTAATAAATCTCAAAGTACGTGACTGGCATGGTCGAAACACCCATCGTTAGTTTTCATTTAAATTGCAGTACAACATATGTGCGATCCAGGGCGTAAGGCAAAGCGGATTAGAAAATAGCGTTTTTAGCCCCGTTGACTTGCATTCATTTTTTTCGTTCTTCTGGGGACCCATGATGCGGAAGTAGACTTAGGCTCCCTTTGGATCTAAAAAGCAATTTTCTAATCCCGTTTGTTATGTGCCACAGATTTCACATTGAATTCTGTGAATTTTAAAGACACATTCTGATTCTGAAAGCACTTGTTTTCGAACGAGGCAAAAGATATTTTAGGTTTTGTGTTTGTCCAGGGCTACAACTGCATATCACAAAACGTCATTGAACCAGACATTTTGAAGAGCAGAGGAAAAACGGCTCTAAGTTCAGCAAACTTTGAATACTTCTTTCAATTCAATTCAATTCAAAAATACTTTATTAATCCCAGAGGGAAATTGATTGCTGTAGTAGCTCAGAATAATAATAATAATCAAGTCATCAAAGAGTTATTGTATATTACAATGGCTGTTGGCAGGAAGGATCTCCAGTAGCGGTCAGTGTTGCAGCGAAACTGAAGAAGCCTCTGACTGAAGACACTCTTCCGTTGTCGGACAGTCTTGTGAAGAGAATGCTCAGGGTTGTCCAGAATTTTCTTGATTCTCTGGAGAATCCTTCTTTGCATTATCTCCTCCAGTGGTTCCACAGTCGTCCCCAGAACAGAACCAGCCTTTTTATTAGGCTGTTGAGCCTTTTCAGGTCCCTGCTTCTGATGCTACTACCCCAACAGACGATGGCTGAAGAGATTACACTCTCAACAACAGACTTGTAGAAGATCTGCAGCATCTTGCTACAGACACTGAAGGACCTAAGCGTCCTCAACAAGTGCAGTCTGCTGTGCCCCTTCTTATAAACGGCTTCGCTGTTCTTTCTCCAGTCCAGTCTGTTGTCCAGGTGAACTCCAAGGTATTTGTATTCCTCAACCACCTCCACTTCTTCTCCCATGATGGAAACAGTGTTTGACTCCACCCTGTGTCTTCTGAAGTCTAAAATCATCTCCTTTGTTTTGTTCACGTTCAAGGTCAGATGATTGTTTCCACACCATGCCACAAAGCACTCCACCAGCTCTCTGTACTCAGCTTCCTGTCCATCTCTGATACACCCGACAACTGCAGAGTCATCTGAGTATTTCTGTAGATGACAGGTCTCTGGTTTGTACTGGAAGTCTGAGGTGTACAGGGTGAAAAGGAATGGTGAGAGTACAGTCCCCTGTGGTGCTCCAATGTTACTAATCGCCTGGTTTGATGTGCAGTTCAGCCTCACAAACTGTGGTCTGTTTGTCAGAAGTAAAGAACCACCATAAAAGTAGCAGCTGTGCTAGGGGAGAGGAGATTCAGTGGTGATGACATATATGCAACGTGCCAATGTCTGATTTGTAGTCATGCTAATTACAAATTTTTACAAGCTGATACATCTCAAAGTACGTGACTGGTGTGGTCGAAACACCCATCATTACTTTTCATTTAAATTGAAGTACAACATATGTGCTATCCAGGATGTAAAGCAAAGTGGATTAGATAATAGCTCTTTTAGCCCCGTTGACTTGCATTCATTTTTACCTTCATCTGGGGATCCATGAGCCGACCGGAAAGGGAGGAGACTCAGGCTCCCTATTGTCATATCTGGTGTTAGTACCCTTGGGTGCTTTATGGTAGGCAGCACTTATTACATTTAATACGGTAGTTTGTGTCTGGCATTACAGGAAGTGTTGTTTGCCATCTTGCTGTTAGCTTGCTGTTATAGTTCTGAACGACCCATTAAAGGAAATAAAACACCACAACTGAATCATTATTCCCTTCACACATGCAATTCACTGTAATGTCGAGTTGTTAAGAATTGAAAAAGTAGCTTGAGATATTTTTTGAGCAGACAATTCGTTTTGAATTCACTTTTAGTGTTGTTAGCTTATCGTTAGCCTTAGCCTCTTTCCAGGGCTGCCTACTCTCAAGCATTCAGCATGAGACACTCTCATCCTCCCCATTGTCTTTCAATCTGCAGACGGGGGAGAGACGCATGGAAAAGTTCAAAAAATGGCAATACCTAGATAATAGCACACCTCTCAAACTGAACAGGTGATTTTGATCTATTATTTGTGAGACAGAACCAGAGTCTCAGGTGGTACCGACCCGACCCAAATAGCTGGGTGATGCGTCAGGATCCAATCTTAGAACCTTGAATTTATTGGTGGAATTTTAGGTTTTATGCCATAAAAACCCTCGGAGCTCTGCTAGCTGTGAGTATGTATTACCACCAACTGGCCACCAGATGGTGCTCTAAAGCTATTTTCGCTTAAAACTTGTTTTACTGCCTGAAAACATATTTTTAAATTATAATCACAGCCAGAATGAAGGAGTCAGTTCCTTGGTTAGTTAGTTAGTTTCAAACTAATGTTTTTAATTGAAACACAATAACCAGGACAAAGCTGGATGACAAAAACTCCAGCAAAATAAAGCAGAAAATTATGTGTTTTCAGATATTTGGGGCCATCTGAGATATAATGTAATGTAAAGTTAAGGTATTCATGATGGAATGCAGTATTGATTCATATTTTATTTTTAGGTTGTTTATCTCAAGTTATGTTTAGTACATGTTTTAGTAAGCTACAGGTACCGACACAGGTAGAGCTGCTGCTGAAGAATCAGACACACACCTGTGGGAGGTGGAGACGGCCTGGCGGGCATCCCACAGGTAATGAAGGTAGTTAACATCCATCAGGAATTCCAAACCACGACAGTAACCCACACTGTCTGATACTGATAGGTCTGAAACACACACGCGCACACACACGCACACGCGCACACACACACACACATTCAGTATGTCTGCTAGAGGGTGTTCCATCATGCTACTTTATGTTTTAAACCTCCTCACCTGCTCCTTTGGGCCAGTGGATGTGCTCTGAGTGTGTGTTTGTGTTGTGGAGGCGTGCCGGGCACCAGGAAGGCATGAGGAACAGGAAGGAGGCGGAGGAGAAGGTGCAGATGGAGGAACGGTCCCTCTGTTTTAGGGAGGAGCAGCGACTCTGGCTCAGGTGGCGGCAGGGAATCAGGTACCTGAGGAAGAATCATCCTGATCAGCTACTGCCTCCTTGTGGTCGTTTTGGGAAAAACATCCAATGAAATGAGCCAAAAACCTGCAGTTCTCATTATTACACGTATTTATAAATTAAATTAAATGATTGAACTTAACCCAGAAATCTATGTTTCTAAATAAAAAGGAATTTTTTTAAAGCAACAAAAATGATCCTATTTGAACTTGTGAGTGAGCCCATCTGGCTGACCTGAACACCAGCTGCAGCATGACGTCTTCACAGAAGAGTCCAATGAGAGTCCCGAACAGAGCCAGAGACACCGTCCCCAGCTGGAGGAGAGGAAAGCTTCTCAGTTACAGAGCAGGAGTCCCTCTGGGCACCGGGGGTGTTCCTAGAGTGTCCTACCTGGAAAGGTGTGTTGACCCTGCTGACCAGTGTGTCCAGGATGTGGACGTTGTCATGTCTGTGCAGCAGGATGAAGGACAGGAAAGTCTGGAGGAGGGCGGGCTCAGAGATGGAGCGCAGGAACAGATCCAGGTAGGCTGTGGTGGTCATCACCTCCTCCACAGTCAGCTACGCAAACACACACGCACACACACCTGGTCAGGTGTTTACCGTGTCTCGTCTCTGACTGTCTCAGGGTTATAAACACGGACATGTTACCTTGTGTAACGCGGGAGCAAGGACAGGAACCAGGAAGCCGTTGTAGATGTAGCTCAGCAGCTGGGATCGGATGGAGGGATGGGCGACCTGAGGCAGACACACACATCAGACTGGATGTGTGTACTTGTTTTAGGTCATGGGTATGGTGGGTTTAGGGATGATGATATGGAGACTAATGACCCAACACTACCTTGATAACAGCACCACAGAAGTCCAGTGAATGCAGAAAATGAACCAGAGCTGGAACCTGTCGATACCAGTTACAGGTCGTTACCGACTCCGTCATAAAACCGTTAAAAACTGAGAATCTTTGACTAAAATGAACAATTGTGTTTTTTTAATTCTCCAGACATTAACCTAGAGCTGCGGGTTGTTTGTGTCATCACTGAAGAAGCTAATCTCTAATCTGTAAGCACAGATGGACCAACACACTAAAGAGCAGCGATGGAGGCTGATGCTGTTACCTGCTGCCAGTCGGCCGGGTCCAGGCGGTGCCAGTCCTCGCTGTACACCTGCAGCCTGGCTGGGAGAGACGAGTATAGACCTGACAGACCTGTGGCCAGCACCTGGAAACACACACACACACACGCACACACAGGTGGGTCCAAGGTTTCACTGGAGGACACAAACCTAAAGAGCGTTTGGCGATTCGTGCAGGTGTAACCACCTAAGCACCAATCACAACTCAGGGCGAGGCCCTGGTTAGACGTCTGACTGAGGAAGTTCCTCAGAGCGAACACAGACTCCTCTGGGTTGGGAACATCTGGCTGGTGTTGGTCTGGAAGGTTTTAGATAAGTCAGAGTTCTAGAAGGTTCTGAAACAAGTCAGCTGGACTTGTTTACGTTCATGAAGGTATTTGGCTTCTCATCCAAGGAGTTTTCTCAGATCAAGCAGGAGAATGTGGCTCAGATTCAGCTGACCTAAAATCTCAAACCTCCTTTCATTATTTATTGTTTTGTTTTGTCAAATAGTTTGTGTAACTTCCTGGATAATATTTCCAGAACTGGGCCGTTTATCAATACTACACCTGTACTTCTCCAGTACAGTACTAGACAAGAATGCTCTTGGCAAGGACACCAGAAGGTCTGTTCTACCGAGTACGGGAGGATGAGGACGGCGTTAGGAACAGAACCGTACTCTTGCTACGATTAAAAAAATCAACCTGACATAAAAATACGTCTAGTTTGTTCCTTAAATAGCAAAATACCAACAAAAACATATTATTGGTATTATACTTGAGCCACTTTTGATAAAAACTAATAAAATAGCATTTCCCACTCTTTAATTAATAAAAAGTTTATTTTCATCAGAACACAGCTACGCTGCTTTTATTTTGAAAGTGGGTTAGCTATTGTCACTACCATGCCGGTGAGCGAAGCGGAGATGAGGCGAGGATTCAAACGGGGTGAGGAAGACAGGCAGACAGGTAGGACGTTTTACAAGAACTTAAATATGGAGCACGCAGGACATAGAAACAATGACCCAACATGAGACACAACACAGAAGGGGTTTAAATACAGGAGGGCTGGGAGCTTGGGTGATTGGGAAATGAGAGGCAGGTGGGAGCAATTAACAGAGACACAGGACTAAACCAAAAGGGGAGACAGGACAAGGTGTGACACTAATTAGCATTTCGAGGGATTGTGAAGAGTAAAACCCAAACATACAAAGAAAAAGAAAACAATCTTTTCTATAGCGCCTCTTAAGATAAAAATCGTGAGGCACTTCACAAAAACAAAAATTTAAAATATAAAAAAGATTTAAAAAAATGATCAAAAACATGTTAGAGAGAGAGAGAGAGAGAGAGAGAGAGAGAGAGAGAGAGAGAGAGAGAGAGAATAGGAAAGAGGGAAATCAGTGACTCCTGGGGAGAACAGAATAAGGAGAGGGTGGTGATGAAGGTCACACCAAATCCAGCCTGAACAGGTGAGTTTTCAGCTGCTTCTTAAAGGAGACCACTGAGTCCACCGATTTCAAGCTCAGGGGGAGAGAGTTCCAGAGTCTGGGGGCCACAGCAGCAAATTATCTGTCACCTTTGGTCTTTAGCACAACCAGTAGGCTTCGGTCACTGGACCTCAGGGACCTGCTGGGGGTGTAGGGACTAAGAAGATCACCAATGTAAGATGGTGCTTGTCCATGTAAGGCCCTATAGACCAGAACCAGGATCTTGAAATGAACCCTGAAGTTGACTGGCAGCCAGTGAAGCTGGAGGAGAAGCGGGGTGATGTGGGTGTGTTTGGAGGACTTGGTCAGAAGCAGAGCACAGGCATTCTGAACCACCTGTAGACGGTTCAGGGAGGTTCTGCTCAGACACGTGAAAAGAGAGTCGCAGTAGTCTAAGCGTGAGGAGATGAAGGTGTGGAGAACTGTCTCAAGTTCAGAGCGGAACAGAATGGGACTCAGCTTAGCAACGTTCCTGAGATGGAAGAAGGAAGAGCGAACAAGAGAACTGACATGAGAATCCAGGGTGAGAGCTGGGTCAAAGGTCACACCAAGATTCCTGACAGAAGGTTTGGTGTGAGAAGCAAGCTGACCAAGAGAGTCTCTGACTTTGGAACCAGCTTGTCTGGGGCAAAGATGAGGATCTCAGTCTTATCTTCATTCAGCTGAAGAAAGCTCCCAGCCATCCAGGTTTTGATAGAGTCTAAGCAGGTGTGTAACAGCTGCAGCTTAGACATCTCATGGGGCTTAAAGGAGATGTACAGCTGGATGTCATCTGCATAAAGATTCCTTTGAAGGAGCTCAGGATGTGCTGAAGAGGAAGCAGATAGAGGAGGAAGAGCAGAGGCCCCAGCACAGAACCTTGTGGGACACCATGGGTAAGAGAGGTGGTGGAGGACCTAAACTTGGAGACGGCCACAGAAAAGGAGCGCTCAGAAAGATAAGAGGAGAACCACTCCAGAGCAGATCCTGATAGGCCTACCCAGTCTCTGAGCCTCTCCAGTAGCAGGTGATGGTCAACAGTAGGGCTGCAACAACGAATCGATGAATTCGATGAAAATCGATTACTAAAAGCGTTGGCAACGAATTGCGTCATCGATTCGTTGTGTTGCGCAACTCTTCCAAAAGCCCCCTCCCCTCCCGCCCGCCGTTGCGCGCAGACCGGTGGAGAGCCGGCAGGTGTTTGTAAGAGGAACATGGCAGAAGCAGCGAGACCCCAAAAAAGTTAAAACTTCTAAAGTTTGGGAGCATTTTCAGTTAAATCAGGCGAAGACATGCAACGTTTGTAGGTCAGACTTAGCATGGCATGGGGATACTACGGTGATGATGCAGCGTCTTAAACGCAAGCATGTCAGAATCATCAGCGAGGAAGGAGAGAGCTCTGTGTCCGGGTAAGTTAAAAACTTTTCAAAAGTGATTCACCCAAGCTCCGGATTATTACACAGGCTAGACATGTCCTAAGCTCGTAAAAAAAGTCTATAAAATTGTAAGCGCGACGCTATTTGATAGTGTGTGTGGGGGGGGGGGGGGGGGGGGGGGACGGGACTCGCGCCGCTGCGAACCGGTTCCGCCGTCACATTCCCGCAGAAACTGGTTGATCACACCGGGGCCAGACTACTAGCATGTGGTTTTACAACCACAATGTCCTCAGAAGCAAAAACGCTTTTAAAAGGGAGGGAGGAGTCCTAACTGTTGCTGCAGGCGTGTTGTGTGAGAGTGCAGTTATATACTGGTTAATATATTTTTGGGTTCAGTTGCTTTCATGTGGCCTAATGTGAGTCTATTTGGGATCATTGGAATGATCAGCAGCATTTCTTGATGTGACTTTATGGCAGTTGCCCAGGGCATCATCGCAAGGAGGTGGTATTCATTTACTTTTGTTTTATTTGGTATTTTTCAGTCATTTTTGGAAATAGTGATTAATTTTGATTAATTCACAGCCTATGTTTAATTACATTTAAAAATTAGTTGTTTGACATCCCCAATTATAATAAATGTCTACAGATGAGATCAAACAAAACAGATGAGAATTGCCCTTAAAGAGCAAGTCACCCCCAAATAAACTTTTTTTTGCTGATAAACTAAATAAACGAGTGTCTAATCGTGCTGCAGGCACGTGTCGTCAATAATTTGGCACTTCAGTGCATCTTAGTTCAAATTTAAATATTCTGCCTAAAACTGGCAGTGTTGTGCCGTTGTCAGGTAAAAACTCTGCACTGTATTTTAATTTAAATCTGCCACCGCTATTGGCTAAGAAGTATGCTATGATGTAAACTGGTACATTATGATGTCACAATGCTGTCGTGAGCCTGAGTGTGTGTGTATTTGTTAGCGGCTCCGCCCTCTCGGTCTGCCAGGCAACAGCATGTGTTGCATTTTTCAAACATGAAGCGGGAGTGGAGTTAGACTCTGGTAGGGGTTGACTTGCTCTTTAAGCTGTTTAATTTGGACCAAGCATTTTAGGTCACAGATAGATGTAGCTTAGGGTCTCTGTCTATACACCTTATAAGACAATTTAGGTGATGGCATGTTGTTTTTCTGCTATTGAACTGTTTTCTAATAATGTTGTGTTTAATAAAGTGAAGGAAGGAGAAAAATAACGTTTCCCTGGCAGTTTTTAAAAATGTCCCTATGTAATCCGATTAATCGATTAATCGTGTCGAGACCCCATCCGATTAATCGATTATCCAAATAATCGTTTGTTGCAGCCCTAGTCAACAGTGTCAAAGGCTGCAGTCAGGTCCAGCAGGACCAGAACAGAACAGTCCCCTGCATCATTGTGAGTCAGAAGGTCATTAGAGACTCTAAGAAGAGCTGTTTCAGTAGAATGAGCTCTACAAAAACCTGACTGGAAGCTATCATAGATGTTCTGTTCATCAAGAGCAGCTGTGAGCTGTTTAGCCACAACCTTTTCCAAGATCTTGGAGATGAACGGAAGTTTAGAGATGGGTCTGAAGCTGCTATGGAGAGAGGGGTCGAGACTCGGTTTTTTAAGAAGCGGGTGGATTACAGCATTCTTAAAGTAAGCAGGGACCTGACCAGAAACCAGAGAAGCATTAATTATAGAGAGCACGCTGGGACCGATGGACAGAAAAGCACTTTTAAACAAAGATGAGGGTAAGATGTCGAGGGGGCATGCAGAGGTCTTCATAGAGTTAACTAGTTTGGTTAACTCAGGCAAAGAAACAGGAGCAAAGCTATCTAGGATGATGGGCCTGGTTGGAGTCGGGAGAGGCGGCGATGAGGCTGAAGGAGAGATGCTAGATCTAACCTTATTGACTTTGTCCACAAAGAAAGACAGAAAGTCTTCATACTCTGCAACAGAGTGGATGGAGGCTGTAGGAGAGGCAGGAGAGACGATACTGCTGATGGTGTTAAACAGCACCTTGGGGTTCCCTTTGCATGGATGCATCCTTGATACAATGGGCGGAGCAAGAACACATACGAGAACTTTGAGTGAACTTGCCATGATGCATATTTAGGATTGGAACAGTCCTTGGGCCATCGCTGATGACGTTTCACAAAGACGTGAGTACACGAGTTCGGACAAGTATGCATGTTGAGAAACGGCCCTTTTCGCTGAACTGCTGGATTTAGTTCTGACTCAGCACTTTCCACCATCTAAATAAAAATATCATCTCAAAAACAAAATCTGTGTACATCCTCAAAGCTGAACCATTAAAACTTAGAAAATGAGTTAAACACACACCTGTACACACACAGGCTCACGTGGAAACTACATTCCTGAGCAGATTAGCAGGAAGCAAGGCTGGATATGAATTCATTAAAGGAACAGTTTGAGTTCAGTTAAAAAAAATAAAACCAGCTGCTTAAACATCTGAGTTCATTTTATTAAAAACACAAATCAGTGACAGGATGAGGATGGTTGAGGAGAGCATCATCATCATCATCATCCAGATGAGTCTGAGCAGCAGCAACATCTGCACTCCAGAGTCTCGTCCAATCACGTGCAGCCTCACTAATCCCTCTGATGTTCTAATCTGCTCCCTACGCACAGATTGAGGTCAGATTTTGGGTCACATGGGCTTAAAGCTGAAACACACCAACACACACTCAGGTGGCACGTGCCTTTGATCCTGTCTTTCTACTCAACATAAACCCTCCGACCTTTTATTCATCCTGTCACAAAGCAGATGGATCCAACATGGCCGACAGTCAGCGTAAACATCCGACAGCACCGCTGCTCTTCCTTGAATCCGGTCCCGATCGTCTCTCATTAGCTTCCACTCTCGACCCCAGGAGGACGCCCGATGAGCTCATTAGTTTATTACATAACTTCCTCATAATGAGGTTACAATACAGGAGGAGATGAATGAATGAACGCGGTGAACAGTTCACGAACTGTGTCAAAGAAGAGATTTCATTCATAAAAATGTGTTAAATAATCAGTTAGAGGCTTTCATGCAGGAAGCTTCAGGTGGAGATGAAAACAGTTCAGACACTCTAGGTTTAGCCTCAGGTTGGATGCTGCTTTAGTTCAACCCTGACATCTCAGACACTCAGAGGCTCCAGCTGATTTCACACGACCATGTGTCAGCAGTCGGAGACGGTCGTGACTCCTTGGTCCTTTTGGACTCGACCTTTTGGACCCATCCGTGATGGTTTCCTGTGTCTACTCACCAGTTCAGCGTGAGCGTGTGTTTGTACACTTACGGGACAGAAGTAGGTGTTCTCGGCGATGTGCTGAGCTACTCGAGGCTCGGAGGCTGACAGAGACATGATGAGCAGCAGAGCATCTCTGGCCTGTTGTCCCACCTGTCCCTGCCTGGAGGACAGATAGCGTTCATAAGGTCACTTTTGACTAAATACACTTGTGTTTTTGTCCTGATGATATTTGTTCAGGTCTTATTATATCCAAACACTGGCTCATCCCTTGTGTTAGGGGCTTTTACATATGCCTGATTCATGAACTGAACAAAAAAACAACTAATATTCTAAAACGAGTTGTGATACTGGACTGGAAAATAGTGGAAAAATAGCCAAAGTCCACAGAAAAGCTCCCAAATGCAGCAGGAAACTGGTTTAATCTACCTGTGAGTGTATGGGATGAGCAGGGAGAAGAGGAGGAAGTTAGCGGCTCCCTGGTCCTGGCTGCTGTGGAAGAACAGCTCCAGTACTGACGGGTCCCTGACCAGAACCGCACACAGCTGGTTCAACAACTGGACAAGCTCCGCCTCCACCACCCCGCCAGTGTCTGCAGGGTGAAACGTCACCTAGATCAACATTCAGGTCAAACACAGAAAACACATCCAACAGGAGACAGAACAGTTCTCAGCTTCAAATATAACGGTATATTAAAGACTTTTATTGTGGAAATCCATTTAAAGGAACTGGTTTTATTCCACCTGATTTCGATCAAAAACAGGAAGTAACGTGTGAGCTGGTGTCTCTGAGGCAGATGACCTGTAGGTCATATTTAACATACACTGGGTGTGAAATTGTTATTAATAAAGTCATGATAAAATGTTCCTGACCAGTTGCAGCTCCAGCACATGAGGTGAGCAGCATCATGAGCGGGCGGAGAACGGGCTTATGGTGCAGCAGAGGCTGCTTAGCCTGAGACAAGAGCATCTGGTACATCCTCAGCTGCTCCAGCTTCATGTCCTCAGTGAACTGTCTCCTCAGACTCCACAGGAAAAGTCTCTCCATCACGCCCTCCAGAACCACCAACTCCAGGATGGGCCCCATGGCTCCTCCTGGTGTCACAGCATCATCATCATCATAATCATCATAATTATCATCATCATCATCCTCATCATCACTGTCCTCCTCCTCCTCCTCATCGTCATCATCCTAATCATCATCATCATCATTATAATTATCATCATAATAATCACTGTCCTCCTCATCTTCATCATCATCATCATCATCATCATCATAATTATCATCATCATAATCACTGTCCTTGTCATCATCATCATCATCATCATCATCATCATCATCATAATCACTGTCCTCATCATCATAATCATCATCATAATTATCATCATCATCATCATCATCATCATCATCATCATAATCATCATCATAATTATCATCATCGTCATCATAATCATGATCATCATAATTATCATCATCATCATAATCATCATAATTATCATCATCATCATCATCATCATCATAACCATCATCATCATAATTATCATCATAATCATCATCATCATCATAATCATCATCATCATAATTATCATCATCATCATCATAATCATCATCATCATTATCATAATTATCATCATCATCATCACTGTCCTTATCATCATCATCATCATCATCATCATCATCATTATCATAATTATCATCATCATCATCACTGTCCTTATCATCATCATCATCATCATCATAATCATCATCATTATCATAATTATCATCATCATAATCACTGTCCTTATCATCATCATCATAATTATCATCATAATAATCACTGTCCTCCTCATCTTCATCATCATCATAATTATCATCATCATCATAATCATCATAATTATCATCATCATCATCATCATAACCATCATCATCATAATTATCATCATAATCATAATCATCATCATAATCATCATCATCATAATTATCATCATCATCATCATAATCATCATCATCATTATCATAATTATCATCATCATCATCACTGTCCTTATCATCATCATCATCATCATCATCATTATCATAATTATCATCATCATCATCACTGTCCTTATCATCATCATCATCATCATCATCATAATCATCATCATAATTATCATCATCACAATCACTGTCCTCCTCATCTTCATCACATCATCATCATCGTCATCATCATCACTGTCATCATCATCCTCGTCACCATCATCGTTATCGTCATCATCATCATCACTGTCCTCATCATCATCATCAATATCATCATCTTCATCATCAACAATATTATAATCTTCATCATCACTGGCCTCATCTTCATCATCATCATCATTATCATCATCTTCATCATAATCACTGTCTTCATCATCATCATCATCACTGTCCTCCCTATTATCACTGTCATCATCATCCTCGTCACCATCATCATCATCATCATCATCATCATCATCGTCACTGTCCTCCTCCTCCTCATCATCATCGTCACTGTCCTCATCATCATCATCTTCATCATCACTGACCTCACCTTCATCATCATAATCATTATCATCATCTTCATCATCAACACTATTATCATCTTCATCATCACTGGCCTCATCTTCATCATCATTATCATCATCTTCATCATAATCACTGTCTTCATCATCATCATCATCATCATCATCATCATCATCATCACTGTCCTCCCTATTATCACTGTCATCATCATCCTCGTCACCATCATCATCATCATCATCATCATCGTCACTGTCCTCCTCCTCCTCCTCATCATCATCATCACTGTCCTTATCATCATCATCATCATCATAATCATCATCATAATTATCATCATCATAATCACTGTCCTCCTCATCTTCATCACATCATCATCATCGTCATCATCATCACTGTCATCATCATCCTCGTCACCATCATCGTTATCGTCCTCCTCATCATCACCATCATCATCATTATCGTCATCATCATCACTGTCCTCATCATCATCATCAATATCATCATCTTCATTATCAACACTATTATCATCTTCATCATCACTGGCCTCATCTTCATCATCATCATCATTATCATCATCTTCATCATAATCACTGTCTTCATCATCATCATCATCATCATCATCATCATCACTGTCCTCCCTATTATCACTGTCATCATCATCCTCGTCACCATCATCATCATCATCATCATCATCATCATCATCATCATCATCGTCACTGTCCTCCTCCTCATCATCATCATCGTCACTGTCCTCATCATCATCATCTTCATCATCACTGACCTCACCTTCATCATCATAATCATTATCATCATCTTCATCATCAACACTATTATCATCTTCATCATCACTGGCCTCATCTTCATCATCATCATCATTATCATCATCTTCATCATAATCACTGTCTTCATCATCATCATCATCTGTCCTCCCTATTATCACTGTCATCATCATCCTCGTCACCATCATCATCATCATTATCATCATCTTCATCATAATCACTGTCTTCATCATCATCATCATCATCATCACTGTCCTCCCTATTATCACTGTCATCATCATCCTCGTCACCATCATCATCATCATCATCATCGTCACTGTCCTCCTCCTCCTCATCATCATCGTCACTGTCCTCATCATCATCATCTTCATCATCACTGACCTCACCTTCATCATCATAATCATTATCATCATCTTCATCATCAACACTATTATCATCTTCATCATCACTGGCCTCATCTTCATCATCATCATCATTATCATCATCTTCATCATAATCACTGTCTTCATCATCATCATCATCATCATCATCACTGTCCTCCCTATTATCACTGTCATCATCATCCTCGTCACCATCATCATCATCATCATCATCATCGTCACTGTCCTCCTCCTCATCATCATCATCATCGTCACTGTCCTCATCATCATCATCTTCATCATCACTGACCTCACCTTCATCATCATAATCATTATCATCATCTTCATCATAATCACCGTCCTCATCATCATCATTGTCGTCGTCACCATCATCATCATCATCATCATCATCGTCACTGTCCTCATCATCATCATTGTCGTCGTCACCATCATCATCATCATCGTCACTGTCCTCATCATCATCATTGTCGTCGTCACCATATCATCATCATTATCGGACGAGTCAGAACTCACCAAGCCCCGCCTCCTCCTCCATCAGCAGGAACAGCATGTGTTCGACGTAGTTCTGGACGGCGCTGGCCTCGTCGGCGGGGATCGGGCCAAGCCGTAGCGCTCCAGAGCTGCTGCTGTTCTGGTGACCTGAGAGGAAGCTCAGAGCTCTGGAGGTGCTGCGACTCGGCTCGTGTTTCTCCAAAATCTTCACCACCTTCACAGGGAGGAAGGTTACAAACGGTCATGACACACACACACACACACACACACACACACACACACACACACACACACACACACACACACACACACACACACACACACACACACACACACACACAGCTGGTAACTACCATCTCACCTGGACCCAGTGGTTCTTAAACACGATCATGCAGGTCTCCGGGTCCACTCCTCTCAGTGTGAGGGACTTCCTGCGGTTGCCCCCGACAACCACTGAGGCCATCATGTTGACTAGCTGTCAGGCTGCTAGAGCATCGTCCAGCTGGGAGTGAAGAGCGTACCAGTGGAAGGAGCGGGAGGCATGACCTGGTTCTGTTGGACACGAATCAAACTCCGACCCTGGGATCAGCGGGCAGCTGCTGGACTTTAGAGGAGAGTTCTGTCAGGTTCACAGGTCGCTCACAAGCATGGCTGACACGCTAACTCACACCGACTGATAGTGATGAATGAGAGTAGTCAGGGTAATGCAGGTGGGATAAAACAGAGCTACTGCGTTTAGCTTCTCCACACCCAAGCAGACGCACAAGTAAAATTAGGCTTTTACTTCGGGAATTCAACACTTTTTCCAAAGTTAAAATGAACCTTTTAACTGTTTGTTTTACTAGATCACATGATGAAGCAGGCCAAACTAAAGTAAGTACAGGTTAGATTCTAACATCAGCTTGTTCTGAAACCTTAGCTTCAATCCCATAAGGGGGTTTCTCGCTTCAGCTCCCAGATGTTCTAAATATCTCCTGAGATCATCAGCTTCTTCACCCATCTTACTATTGAGTCTGGTCAGCATCAGTAGGTGGAATCAGTCTGCGCCGCTAAAATCAACTCGTGGTTAACACTGTTTATTCTGAGAAACTCTAAATGTTGCTTTTTTACTTTCTTCATCATAGGAAATAAGGATTACGTTCTCAAAGAAGAGTTTTTTTAATAAACTACAGACAAAAATCTGATTCTGTAACTGAAACTTTTTGGTCGTTTCCATGATGGACGCTATTTCTGCGGCGTCCGCCTCCCTATCTGACTTCTTCTTCTGAGTTTAGAAAATGTGTTAGCAGAGATCTGAATCTGCAGATAAAAGTATTTTAGTTATGATTATAATAACTCGCTGTATGTTCAAACAAAAACATTTCCTGTGACTCTGCAGTGCTCCACGGGCTCTTCTTCCTAAAGCCGCTGAACAGAGTGGATTTCCTGAGTGAGGTAACAGTGAGGCTTTCTAGGTCTGGAACAGGAAGTGAGGGTCGTCAGCAGCAACATACAAACAGGAAGAAGTGACAACCAGCGGGAGTCCCGCCCTGGGCGTTCCGGGAAATTCCAGGAATACCCAGGGAGGTCTGTGAGATATCCTCCAGCACGGCGCTCCTACCTCTGTGCTGGGATGTCCTTGAGGAGCGAGCCTGGCGCCGGTGATCCTGGAGGAGACGATGAGATCACATCAGGCCTAAAATTACACTTTTATTCATAAATGGACCAAAATGGATGAAAGGGAGGGAGGGAGGTCCCCACAGCATCAGCATGACAAACACATTCATTAATGCCAGCAGGGTCTTTGTGTGTGTGTGTGTGTGTGTGTGTGTGTGTGTGCGCGTGCGTGCGTGTGCGTGCGCGTGCGTGTGTGTGTGTGTGTGTGTCTGATCTAACAGGAGCTACATGCTTTTATATGTGGACACAAAAAGGCTTTTCAATGAAATTCAATGTTTCATTTTGTTTTTTGTAATTCCATAAAAACTTTATTAATATTAATAAAAAATATCAACAAGAATGTCAGAATAGTAAATGGCCTGTTTTAGTATTGCATCTCCTAAGTGTTCTACAACCCCCCAAGGCGCTTCACACCAAAAACACTCAATCATACATTCATTCACACACACATTCACACATTGATGGGGATGAGCTACGATGTAGCCACAGCCGCCCTGGGGTGCAATGACAGACAAGGCTGCCGAACACCGCTCTCTCTGACCACCACCAGCAGGCGAGGTGGGTTAAGTGCCTTGCCCAAATACACAACAGCAGAATCCTCTGGTCAGAGCTGGGATTCCCAGCTGGCCTAGTGGTAGTGTCCGCCCTGGGACTGGGAGAACGGGGTTCCTGGTCGGGTCATACCAGAGACTTTAAAAATGGGACCCAATACCTTCCTGCTTGACTCAGGTTTAAGGGGTTGGATTGGGGGCTAAAACCACCAAACAGTTCCCGAGCGCAGCCACCGCTGCAGCTCACAGCTCCTGTCCATGGAGTGGCTCAAAGGCAGAGATGAATTTCACCTGGACAACCCGCTCTACCTCCTGAGCTGCTGCTGAATATATAAAAACAATTTTTTTAAATATTTATTTATAGCAATTATTGAATAAAACTCTGTATGCGAGTTTAAAGCATATTGTTCACCTTGGTATAAGTATTGTTCTCCTTAAAGTGCGTATTAATGGCCCATAAATACATTATGGGATTTTCCTGTTTACGTTTGACGTGAACGTCAGCATACCCGTTTAAAGCAACAGCACAGAACCACTCCAGTCAGAAGAACCACACAGACAGACACGGCTGCATACAAGAAACGCCCGTCTGGGAGGCACACAGCTGCCGACTAGATGGGCCGTGTCTGCATTTTTAACCAGGTATTTTAGAAATGTAGCCACTGCATACCTGGCAGGTCAGCTGGCTCTGATTTGATCTCCCTAGCAGTGAGATGCATCTGTTCTACAATCGACATAATATTCACACACATTCTGACCCAGGTTTGCTGCCCCCTATAGGCCATGTCCTATAACTGCTCTGATTTATCAGATTTATCTGATTTGCTGTGTGTGTGTGTGTGTGTGTGTGTGTGTGTGTGTGTGTGTGTGTGTGTGTGTGATGGCATGTCTGACAGCCGCAGACACACACAGAGCTGCTTTGGGATTAAACATCACCGTCTCATCTCAGATAACTCTTGTCTGACACACACACACACACACACACACACACACACACACACACACACACACACACACACACACACACACACACACACCAGGGATTAGGCACACAAACACACTGACCCAAAGTACTTTCTGACCCGTTTTACTTCCATAACTTTGATATTTTCAGTCATTTAGCTGATTGAGGTTTAATCTCAGATGATAATCTGGCTGCAGGTCTGATTCATACCTGAAAAACAAATGCTGAGATGTTGCATGGACAAAGGTTTTAAAACAAAAGTGTAACGATGATCTAAAGGTCAGATCCGGCAGACAACAGCCGACTGGTTCTCACAGATTATAAAGAACAAAAACACCTCATCAGTTAAACCTAAACAGAGATTATCTGGATTTTATTCAGAGATTAAAACTAATCAACTGATTAACAACTTTGTCCTGAGGTTAAACTCTAAATCAGTACAAGCTAGCAAATATTTATGTCTAAGGAAGCATGTATACATTAATTTCAGTTAGTTAGTTTGTTTACACTGAAGTCATTTATTGAAAAGTTGTGTTGCCGTAGATATCTCCTGCTGGACATTATTTTCTTGAACTTAGTTTCTGAATGAAACTCTGAGATGTAATGTTAGGATGAGCTTCTACAGCCGATGTAGTTTAGGATTATTGGTAGTAGCTAGTATACAGTAGTACTATTATTATACATCTTTATATTTGTGACATCAAGCACATTTTATACTTAATTTCTCTGCTTGAAGAACTGACAAAACTCATGTTTATCACACAGATCCAGTAACACACCTGTTGCATCTGAGAGACGCTGTTGAGGTTTTAAATTCATAAACAACAAAACAATGCAAAGCTGTGAATTTTGCAGGTAATCAGAGACTTTGAGGACTTGGAGTCCGTCCAAGTGTCCTCCTGTAGTTTGGTGGTTTGAGGTTCAGCTGGTGATTAGAAACATTTTCTCAGCAGATAAAGGTCTCCTAATCGTACTGTTTGTGTTTTGGGACGGGACAGTGTGTGTGTGTGTGTGTGTGTGTGTGTGTGTGTGTGTGTGTGTGTGTGTGTGTGTGTGTGTGTGTGTGTGTGTGTGTGAGATCATACATGTACACACAGGTGTACCAGCGTTATTCTTCTGAACATTATGGGAAAGAAAGTAATATCAGACACTGTTTATTAAATATTTTATTTATGAATCTAACATTTTAGATCTTATTTCTTACATTGAAGATCTGATGTAAGTTTCGTCTGGACTTTCAGACCTTTCTGTGTGCTTTCATGTCATTTTATTCCACACATATTTTTACATTAGTACACTTATCATATCATGTTGTTGTTGTTGTTATTGTTGTTGTGTTGATGCTCCTAAATAAAGACCACGCCATAGGGCATTATGTGATAACGGCAATGGAAACAACAGTGTAACCCTGACCCGTGAGTGAACAGACAAGACTTACCTCAGTGGTCTCCAACTGTTGCTCCTTCTGAAAACAAGTCCGTTAAAATCCTGCAGTGTGTATAAATCCTTAGACTGCTTGTTCCGGAGGCAGCAGATTGTGTTTAATCTGGGCGCCGTGTCGTTACTGAGGCTTTAGACGGCTCAGATGTCAATCACAGCCACTGCTGCCTGGGAGGTAGCAGTGTAGCCCCGCCCACCTACGCTCAAGCCACGCCTGTAATCATTAAACCCCGCCTTCACAGAAGTAAGTGGAGGTACCCTGTCGTGGTTTACACTAAACTTTTCACATTTACTTATAGTAAGTTTAGTTATTTTGTGAAAGTGTTTCGGTTTTTTTTCTTTCTTAAAAAAAATGTAGAATATTTGCTAAACAATTAAATAAATTAAAAAAAAATGTTAATTTACATTTAATTTATAGGGAAATGCTGGAAATTCTTGCGTAGTTTGTCACATTTATACAGACATTTATTTTTAAAAACTAGAAATAAAAACATCTATTAAAGTCTATGTTTACAAGCTAAAACCATAGATAGATAGATAGATAGATAGATAGATAGATAGATAGATAGATAGATAGATAGATAGATAGAAGTTTTATTTGTCAGCAGTGCCCTCTGGTGGTAGCGTCTTATTATTACAATTACAATCAGCTGCTGTAAATGAATCCGATAACTGCTAATTGATTTAACAAATATCCCTGTTTGCATATATGAATGTTTGCAGAGCCTATCTGCTAGGTATCTTTAACAACAGCTTTATTTAATCTGTATTTAAACTGTAGTACTTGATACTTGTTCATGTTATTGGGTATTTAGCCTTTTTATTATGAGAAGTGTCATGTCATTCTTGCAAATTGTGGCATTAGCACCGAGACTTCAGACATAATACAGATGGCACTTTTAACTCTGTTATGCATATTTAAGGTATCAATGTAAGTAAGTAAGTAAGTAAAGTTTATTTATATAGCGTCTTTCACAGATATAAATCACAAAGCGCTGTACAACATGAGTAAAATCAGGGCAAATACCTCAAACCAATAAATACATCATAAAAACAATATCAGTGACAACAATAGTAACCAAAATCAGGAGTAAAAACAAAGTCAAGGTGTGAACAAGAACAAAGCCATCTTTTAGAATATTTAGCGGGGGAAAACCTGGATGAAAAGGTAAGTTTTAATATGTTTTTTGAAGACCTCTACAGATTTCAAGAGATGGAGATTTGAAGGTAGACCGTTCCAAAGTCTGGGTGCAATAGACTGAAAGGCCCTGTCCCCTTTGGTGTTCAGTCTGGTTCGAGGAACAGCCAGGAGGTTTTCAGATGTGGATCTAAGGTTCCAAGAGGTAATGTGTGGGGATAAAAGCTCAGATAGGTAGCTTGGAGCCTGGTTGTTAAGAGCTCTATAGGTCAGGACTAAAACTTTAAACTGAATTCTATATTCTACCGGGAGCCAGTGGAGGGACTGTAAAACTGGAGTGATGTGAGCTCGTCTGCTGGATTTGGTCAGGAGTCTGCTGCTGCATTTTGGATGGCTTGAAGGCGTGAGAGGGAGGTTTTGCTGAGACCAGTAAAAAGAGCATTACAATAGTCTAAGCGTGATGACACAAAGGCATGGATGATTTTTTCCAGATCTGCAGTAGAAACCAGTTTACGGACTTTTGAAATGTTTCTCAGTTGGAAGAAACAAGAGCGGGAGATGGTTTTGACGTGTGAGTCTAAACTTAAAGCTGGATCAAAAATAACTCCCAGGTTTCTAATGTTGTCCTTGGCTGATGGGCAAAAGGAGGCAATTTCCTGCTCGATATTGCTATTACTGTGAACTTTCTATCCGTTCCTGTACTCTGAGTGCTTGTCCCCCTGAAGTTTGTAGAAATTTGCAGGTATTGTTAGATACGACCATGGGAAGGAAATGAGCAAAAAGAACATGAATCCAAGTCAGCATTTCAACTTTTTACAGCCTTCACCAAAACACAGATAATTCAATTAGTTGATAAATAAATATACACATTTCTTGAATTGACTTCAGATGCAAAAACAGAGTACAGAAAAGTATGAAAACATCACAATATGTAGGATTACTGATTATGTACATTTAGGATTTATTTTAGATTCCTTTGTTTAAATATAACGGATAATGAAGGGTGGTACTTTTAAAATCTGGTCTTGCTGGTGTCACAAATTTAAATAAATTTATTGTCTTAACAATGAAGTTTGCTTTTCATATAAGTTTGTGTTATTTAAATGTTCACTTAATAAAGTTTAAAATCAGTCACGTGGGAGTTTAGAGTAATCTGTTTTATTTTTTGCAAGTCATTAGACTAATCAACAAGTAAAGTTAAAACTTATGAAGTTCAGTTTTCTACTTCTATGACTAGGAGAATAAAGAATACTTTACTTTTATTTGAAACTTTAAGATGTTTTATTGAATTAAACAATTACAAATACGGACATTTGTTGGTAACGTAATCCTCATATTGCTATTAACTGTATTAATAAAGTTGTTTTTGAAAAAAGTAGTTTGCTGATCTTTTAGGTGACGTCACTCAGCCGGAGGAGCGCGCGTGCGGCTCCGTATCAGCTCGCGCGACCTGGAAGCTTGGAGGGCCTTTTTTTTTTTTTTTTTTCCCCTGAAACCCGACTCACGGTCACGGACAACACTCTGCCCTGAGCTAACGGGGTGTTTTAATCGTTTTTACTGCCTGACGTCCTCCGAAAACGGACTCGGGGCGTTTATCTAACTACGAGAGGCGTCTCGAGCTGAAAAGTTGTCGGTTGGGGTGAACTTGTCCCGACTTGTTGTGGTCGGATGTTAGCGACGAAGAGGAGCGAAAGCGGAGGAGTGATCATGTTGCTCCGGTTTCTCTCCTGACCTAGATCCATCTGATTTCTCTCCAGACGAACCGGAACAGGAGGCCGAACAAAAGTTTTTTAAAGGGGTTTAAAGATGGCAGAGGCTCGGTCAGAGGGAGAGGAGACGAACCTGCGGAGGAGGGATACTCGCGAACAAGTGGTCCGAAGACAGCCGAACAGCTCCGGAGGTGAGTCTTTATCTACCCGAACAAACGCACCTGCTGCCCCGAGATTGCTGTCGGGGTGTTCTGAATCAGCTGGTTTACCCAGACGAAACGAACCCTAAACCACATCAAAACGAGTAAAATAGAGGAGCATTAACCGCAGCTGTGGGCAGAAGTATGCTAGGCTGCTGTTTAGCTAGCGAGGAGACAAAAACACTCCTTCAGGACGTCTGACTGCTGTGAAATGTGGAGTCTTCCTGTGAAATTTGCCACTAATCTGATGAAACCCTGTCTGGTGTGCTCTCAGGCTACCTTCAACAAACCAGCACTCCGGCTTATGTGAAATATTTATGCTCCCAGCAGCAAAATATGGCAGAGTTAGAATGAGTTTAGGGAATGTATTTATGTAGAGTTGTTTTTGTGTTTCCTGTATTTTTAGTTGTTTTGAGTCCTAGCAGGACAAACATGTAGTTTAAAGGTGGGGTTGGGGGAGATTTTATGGAGTGTTTTTTGCTATATGACTTTAAATGCAATTCATACTGATGGAAACCAATAAAGTAATTAAAACAAGGAAAATTTTCAATGGCCTCTGAAAAGTAAAATCCTAAATTAACCTCATCCAATCATTGTGAACGTCCCGTTCTTAGTAATTGGATCATAACCCATCCATCGTCTCGGAGCAGTTGAACAGGAAGTGAAGCCAGAGCAGAGCTAGCTTGTGACCATCACACACGCACAGAAAATGTTCTGCTTGTTGTTTTGATTTAAATATATGATTTACACATTTTGTTATTGTGGAGAAACATGCAGGTGACGGACTGGTGTGTGTGTGTGTGTGTGTGTGTGTTAGGTGGTTCGGACTGGGCTCTGGGAGTTGGTGGCCCGTAGCGGCTGTTCTGCCTCACTTTTCACCAGAAATACACCACAGTACGTTAGCTAGCTCACAGTTGATGTACGGTTGCATAGGTGTGTTATGTTTGGATTTATGGCAAAGGTGCCAACAATAAGCTGAAAACGTAAAACCGAACCCTTGTGAGCAACCATTGTGCATTCCTGTATTTTGAAGAAAGGTTTGAACCTTTCGGTTGTGTTTTTCATAAACTAGCTGGCAAGGAAAACACCTTCTGCACCTTTAACAAGTCAAGTTGTTCATATTTGAAAGCACCCAGCATCTTCTCACATGTGAACTTTTGGACTGCTTGAATGTGTTTAATTTACAGCTCAGTCTTTGCACGCGGGGACTGTCAGACATGTTGAAAGTGTTAGTGAACCATGTGGTTTGTGTGAGGGAGGAGATCACTCCAACTAGAGCCATAAATCCTGAAACCATCATGTGAGCAAATCACTAGTCGGGTCAAAGTTTGTAACACACACACACGCGCACACACACACACACACACACACACGTGTGTGTGTAAATCTAACTCAGGGTGGTGGTTTATAATTGTAGAGTCCAAATAATAAACACCTTCTCTTTATAGCTTTCTGGAAAACAACATCTGCCAGCAGGCATTTAAGGACATTTATCACACCTGTGAGAGTAAAATTACTCAAATTACCCAGAGATGTTTAAAGATGTAGGTATTTGTACAAAACATACAACAAGCTGTTCATTTAAAGACCTTTTTTAATAATCACACAGCACAGTAACGCATTTGCTCTCTTAGTGATGGTTCTGTCTACCTCTGTTGTTTTGGAAAGACAAAGATGGATGTTACTGCTGTCAGAGGAGTTTAGTCTGTTTTGGTTTAATTGGACCAACTAATATTTAATCAGCTGTAGATGTGACTTTAAACCACCTCAGTTCAGAGAAGTAAAGATGAGCTCTGACCAGACTGACGTTTTATTAAACATTTTATTTTCTAACAGAATAATTCTCATTCAGACCTTTGTACACAACTTCAGACGTGTATAATCATCAGTGTAAATTAGCAGAAATAGGACCTTCTTACCAAAGGTGTCTGTCATCAACTTGTTTGAGTTATCTCGTCTTTCAGCTGAGAAATAAGAACACACTGAAGTCGTGCAGATTTACAACATGTAAACCAGGGGTCTCAAACTCACACGGGGCCGAAATGAAACTCTGGGACGGAGTCGAGGGCCAAACTTAATATTTTTTGAAAAAGTGACGACAAATTTGCACATTTTCTTTATCAACATATATGCAATTTTGAACCTTTAAATTTGGAAACAAACATATTTCTGTATTAACACTGAATGTGGAATAACCAAATTACACACGAGCAAGTCAGTTTTAAATAAAACACATCAGTGGTATTCATTACTTGTGGTATATTCAGCATTTTTAAAATCTATTCAGGATTAATGTTTTCTTGTTTGTTCATTTTTCTTATTTTTATTCTCCTTTTTTTCTCCTGTAATAAGTGTCATCGCTGCTGTGACATCTAGCTTTCCCCACTGAGGAACAATAAAGGGATTTTCTATTCTATTCATTTATCTGCAGCCTTTCCACTTCCTGTTTACTGTAGGTTAAATCTTTTCTCACGGGCCAACAACAAAATAAAAATATCATTTTATCTTAAATGAAAATGCAACATCTCACCTGTTAACTTTCATGTTTTGGAGCAGAAAAAGAGCATAAAACCAACATATTTAAAGCTCAGTTTGCTCCACTGGTTTACTGTGATGCTCACCTGTTCCAGCCAGATACCTGCATCATGGGGTTGATCTGAGCTGAGGAGGAGACTCCTGTTGTTTTGTTCATCGTCATCATAATAACGACAACATTAGATGACAACAGGTGCTCACATAGGTTTGTGCTGCTGAACATGTCTGAGCAGCTGGTAGGGTTGTCACGGTATGAAAATTTAACCTCACGGTTATTGTGACCAAAATTATCACGGTTTTCGGTATTATCGCGGTATTTTTTAAACGGTGTTGCATATGTTCAGAAAGCATTGATAGTCCTGTTCTACACACACTGAAATAGTTCTGAAAAGGTTTAACAGTGTTTATTAAACCTAAAATAACACAAAGCCTTAGCAAAAGTGCAACTTTTCACAAGTAAAGGAACAAATAGCTTATTTTTCTGGAACTTGTTACAGTAGTCAGTGCAGGTTTAAATTATACAAATCCAAACATTCAAAACATAAACAATATGTAAACAAATCAAAGAAACACCACTTGTTTTCTCATATACTTGTTTTCTTCATTATCAAAATGAAAATCTAAAACTCCAGTCCACACTTGACTTGAGCACTGTACAAGTCAACCTTAAAAAATATGTATTTAAAATAAATAGCCACTTTAAACAAATTACTAAAATAACTACTACACTATGTAATCAAATCCAAATGTTCAAGTATAAATGGCATTGAATAAGTAAACAAATCCATGACAAGGAACTAATTGTATATTTCTCTTCATCATCAACAAATAAGATGCTTCATCCAGCAACAGGGTGTCCGTGACACGGTTTAAATGCTGGCAGAGGACGCTGCGGCTGCAGGATATAGTGACTCGTTGCATTCTCCCTCAGCCAAAAGTCCTCACGTCATGCATTTCAGCTAAAATGCTAATGTTAACTTACCTTGCACTGGCTGTAGAGACATGGGTGATGGTCACGCAGATGTGCCGTTAGATTCGAAGTGTTGCTGCCTTCTGCAGACACTTGTTTCCTGCACGTTCTGCAAACGGGATAGCCGTCTTCTATTAACTGTCCCTCAGCATTTTTCAGAAATCCCAAATATGCCCATACTTCCGATTTAGTCTTCTTCGAGGGCTGATGGATGTCCTGGGCGCTGCCGTCGCCTCCTTCGGCCATTATTTCAGCTTCAAAGTTTTGGTGCCGTTGCAAATTAAAAAGTGCGTGTGCGCGCAGCGGGAACTTCAGCTGAAGCGACGGTGGCTGGTAAGGGTCATCGCGCCGAAACCGCGGCCACGGTAAACCCACCGAGATAATATAGTTTTTTAAAAACTGGACGGTTATTTTTATTGTCAACTTTTTTACCGGGGTTTACCGCTATACCGGTTACCGTGACAACCCTAGCAGCTGGACCACGTTGTTGTGTGTCGGGGAAGAAACACAACCACAGAGTCGTGCTGGTTTGAGCGTGTCGCTGCTCGCTGGAGTTATATCGGCTCTGTCTGGACGTTAGTTGGAAAACTTTCTCTTTCAGTCGTGAACACATTACTGAGCGGCTAGAATCTCCGTTTCTGGGCTTCAACGTCAGAAAATAGCTGAGTGAACTCGGCGCTGAGTGAGAGGAGTGTAGTTCGTCTGAGACAGCGGAGCTGCAGACACCGGCAGCAGACGCTGGAAAAAACACAAAGGAGGGGGCGCGTCGGCTCTGCGCTGACGCCGCAAAGCATCATGGGAGTTGAAGTCTTTGCGGTAAAATCGGCCAGCGGGCCAGTTTTAATATATTTTTGATATTTATCTTGCGGGCCACATAAAAATGCTCCGCGGGCCGCATCTGGCCCGCGGGCCTTGAGTCTGACATATGTGATGTAAAGTATTCATTGGTCATGAAGGTTCTGCAGAAACTTACCCAAAAATATCAGAAGTTTTTCCTTTAATCTGTGGAATTATTACAAAGTGAAAGCAGAGCTGCCAGACTCAAACACCAACCAGAAAAGTGGACATTTTAACGTGTTTAACACAGTTTAACAGAATCTAGTTAATGGTAAAGGGACAACATCTTAACTAATAAATACAACAGTTTAGAAACTAACCAGTCCGACCCCACTAACAATACCAGTACCAGTGAGCTTCTGCACATGTATTCCTGTGTGTGTGTGTTCAGTAGGACCAGCATTTAGGAACAGTAACACAGTTGTGTAACTAGGTTAAAACCAGTAAGAGCCTCGTGAATAATGCAGGCTCAGTGTTTGTCCTGCCTTTAGAAGAGAGCGTCTCACCTGTCCAAAGTAATCAGCTTCAGCCATCAGCTGCTGTGTGTCCAGGTTGGTTCAACATTTAGACACTGGTGCCCCCCCCCCCCCCCACACACACACAAACACACTACATCAGTGCTAAGTGCTTTGTTAGAGCTCATGCCACA